ACCCGTCCTAGCCCCCGTTCTAAACCCGTCCTAGCCCCCGTTCTAAACCTGTCCTAGCCCCCGTTCTAAACCTGTCCTAGCCCCCGTTCTAAACCTGTCCTTTAGCCCCCGTTCTAAACCCGTCCTAGCCCCCGTTCTAAACCTGTCCTTTAGCCCCCGTTCTAAACCCGTCCTAGCCCCCGTTCTAAACCTGTCCTAGCCCCCGTTCTAAACCCGTCCTAGCCCCCGTTCTAAACCTGTCCTTTAGCCCCCGTTCTAAACCCGTCCTAGCCCCCGTTCTAAACCTGTCCTTTAGCCCTCGTTCTAAACCCGTCCTAGCCCCCGTTCTAGCCCCCGTCCTAGCCCCCATCCTAGCCCCTGTTCTAAACCCGTCCTAGCCCCCGTTCTAAACCCATCCTAGCCCCCGTTCTAAACCCATCCTAGCCCCCGTTCTAAACCCATCCTATCCCCCGTTCTAAACCCGTCCTAGCCCTCGTTCTAAACCCATCCTAGCCCCCGTCCTAGCCCCGTTCTAGCCCCCGTCCTAGCCCCCATCCTAGCCCCTGTTCTAAACCCGTCCTAGCCCCCGTTCTAAACCCATCCTAGCCCCCGTTCTAAACCCATCCTAGCCCCCGTTCTAAACCCGTCCTAGCCCTCGTTCTAAACCCGTCCTAGCCCCCGTTCTAAACCCGTCCTAGCCCCCGTTCTAAACCTGTCCTAGCCCTCGTTCTAAACCCGTCCTAGCCCCCGTTCTAAACCCGTCCTAGCCCTCGTTCTAAACCCATCCTAGCCCCCGTCCTAGCCCCCGTCCTATAGTTAAGACTATTAGCTTATTAGAGACGGGTAAACTCCAACAGTGAAACTATAAGTTTAAAGGTGGACTCTAGAGTCTAGAGTCTAGAGCATTAACTACAGTACGTGATGAATCTCGCATGTAATAAATGGATAAAACTAGCGACAGCAGCCTCGCAAACAGCAACAAGAAGAATCGTAACTAAACAACACTGGTAGGAAAAGATCTTTAAATGATTCTGGATTCAGCCTAACTTCACGGAACTACTTCCTATCAATAGCTAGATCATTGGTAATGTGTCTAGAAGTAGACACAATATTCTCCGTGCAGGGAGTAATCTCCACTATCCATAAGTAAACATGTTGGTATAAACTACAGTTACTTGCTGGTCTTTCAAACATGAAATGGCAAACTTTAAAATTGCTTGTTGTAATGAACCTCTTATACTTCATAACTTCATCATAATGCAACCAACCCGGCCAAACTCAATTACAGCCTCCAACTGTAGAGTAGTGTGTAGTCATGCTCAAATCTTTCTAGAAAAGTAGAAAACAAGTGTTTTGAGAATGGTCCAATCATGTTTGATGCTGGCAATAAAACATCCAAATCTATAAAAATTATCGGAATCAGACGCAATAGGTATAAAAATAACTGTAACCAACAACCGTGGATACTTATCAAATATGTTAATGAAATGAAGTCTGACAGGAAATATCATGTTATCATGTGCTATGTGATCAGTGAACTGTCCTGTCCGATCTTCACATCGCGCAAATGAAAAATAACCGGCAGGCGGCATATGTAAGTTATACGTAAAAGAAATATCCAACATATAATATTAATACACATAATTACATATGTGAAGTTATACAGAATGAGGGACGTGAAATATATCAAAACCGTAACAATAACAATATAGTAAGGTTGAGTGTAAGGGTTTTAACAAGTAGGAAGCATCAGGGCTCTCTACAGACGGAGCGAAACAAGCATAACGACTGGTGAGAACTAATTGAAAATAATCAACGTTTTGACAAGCTCATTGGCCTTTCACTTAGATTACATTTACTGAATTATAAATTACAAAGGTTAGGTCTAACTTAAGTAAGCGAGCCTAATTAGGAACTAAAACAAGCATGTAAGGTGTAGGACCCCGACTTGGCTAAACAGGCACTGTAGTTTAGAATAATATTATTATATTTCAGAGCGGCGTACCATAACCACTACAATGTCAAAAACGTAACCAATGATAATAATATGACCATCATGGGTATGATATGTTGTAACCACGTAATAAATAAAATGCTGTCTAATTTCAGCTTATCAGTGCTGACTGTCGCGGGATGTGACGTAACCTGGGACTGTGAGACTCACACAGCTACACACCTTAGTAGACACATGATTAGATTTACTGTGGATTAGATTGTGTCTTTATCAGCGGTCCGGGTACCTTGCTAATGGTAATGATTACGTAGAATAAGTAACATGTTTCCTTTTGGCTCTGTAACAAATAACCGGCAGTATAACCGGCAAGTAATTCCTGCCCCTAGTGAGTCACGGGTGTCTGGGTGATGGGTCACTGGGTCACTGGGTCACTAGGGTGACTGGGTGATGGGTCACTGGGTCACTATAATAAGGGAGTATAACACGTTGTAGTGAGCATGTTATACTCCTTCGCCGAGAGTTTGTGCTGGGGTTCATCCGAAAACCCGCGATCCTGACGGACTAGGTACTCCAAAATTGTGAACCTAATTAAGTAATTACCACATCATTTCCAACAACAGCTTACAGCAGAGAGATACACCTTGTGGTTGTGGTAATATTAATTCCCTTGTTCCCTTGTTGCCTCTCAGTGGCAGTCATTACTGTGCTTTAATAATATAATAATATGATATTAAACCAACTGGTCTATCCAAATTTAATTTTAAATCTCTCTTCGTTTATTAATTTAATAAACGATATATTTGTCAAATAAAAGACCATGACAATTTTATAATTAAAAAACATAATATACAATATATAGTAGACCCTATTCCCCTACTCTCTTACATGGGTCCTCAAATAACATCAGCTGTAAGGGGGGAGGTTAAAATTCCCTTCTCCCAATAAATCAAGAATAGGTATACTATGATTACTATTAGCTTATTATAATACTATGTTAGCGGAAAACGTACGTATATTGTATTGTCGTTTAGCGGGTAATTCAAAAAGATCAATTGAAATGTCAGATTTGAATAAACTACAGCGACACACAGGGAGCGAGAAAGAACAATTCAGTGACATTAAAAGAACTGGAGATTCTGCACAAAATTAATTTGTATCTGATGCGGATTGAAACGGAGACTTTAGTGCTCACAAGCTAACAACCTCAGATAGACAATTGATTAGATTTATGTGATTAGATTTTGTCTTATCACGTCGGACCTGTTATGTAATGATACGTAGAATAAGTAACAAGTTTCCTTTTGTCTGTAACATCAATACGCATATATGGGAGGTTAACATGTTGAGTAAGTAGTAACCCCAAGTAATTCCTAGTGAGTCACTAGGGTGACTGGGTGATGGGTCACTGGGTCACTATAAGAGAGTAGGATAATTTGTTGTAGTGAGCATGTTATAGGTACTCCTTCGCCGAGAGTTTGTGCTGGGGTTCATCCCAAAACCCGCGATCCTGGCGGACTACTCCAAAATTGTAAACCTAATTACCACATCACTTCCAACAACAGCAGAGAGATACACCGCGTCTTGTGGTTGTGTAATATTAATTCCCCTGTTGTCTCTCAGCGGCAGTTATTACTGTGCTTTAATTATATACTTATATAATAATATGATGGTTTCATCTTCCTTGTGTGGAAACCAACTGGTCCATCTAAATTGATTTTTAAATCTCTCTTCGTTTATTAGTTTAATAAACGAAATATTTGTCAAAGGCAATGACAATTTTATAATTAAAAACATAGTCTACAATATATAATATAGTGGACCTACAATATATTATATAGTAGACCCTATTCTTCATGTAATGTACTTACAAAGTTACAAGATAATACACATTAATTCTATTTTAGAGCACAGTTATACAATTTAAATTATAGTCTAATGAAGTCATTAGGAAATGCCCCATAGCCAATTTGCAGCTCATTCTTCGCCATCAAAACAATCTTCCCGTTCCACAAAGTTATTGAAGTATAAAGAAGGCGGCTTCTTTAAAGTGTACATTAGAGCAGACAGAAGGGACCGAAAATTAAATTCAGACAAATTGAAATGAAAAGTTTCACTGAAACATACCTACCAAATTTCAATTAAACTGGACATGATTTGGAATTAGATACTTTTTTCAAATTAGGACCAGTAGTTGAAACAACACTGGAGTCCTCAAATAACCATCATGACTTAACGGGGGGCAGGAGGTTAAATATTTGTCCCCTCTCCCAATAAAATCAAAAAGAATGAGGTTATAACATTGATTTACTATTAGCTTATTAGTAAATACTAATTGTTGCTGGAACACGTACGGTATTATTGTCGTTTTGCGGGTAATTCAATAAGATCAGATTTGAAATGTCAGATTTGAACTAACGCTAACAGAAGGACACGCGGGAGCGAGAAAGCACAATTCAGTGACATTAAAAGAACTGGAGATTCTGCACAAAATTAAATTTTGTATCGATGCGGATTGAAACGAAGATTTTAGTGCCTAAATGTAAACAGACCTCGCGAAACAATTTCGAAATAGTTTTTGAAACATGATTGGACGATAATTGGTTCACCCACGAGCAGATTGTTTTAAAACAAACTTATTATCACGCGTTTCAGGAAGCAGTCATTATTTTTATCTTGAGTTATATTATTGTTGTAAGTGGTGATGTAACTAACTACTTGTCAGTACGTGACTTCTTTTTGATAGACACAATATGTTATAGAATTTTATGATTTTATTGTAAATAAAGTTAACGTTTTGTTTGATTGGATATACATTGTTTCGAAACATAATCTGAACACAATCTCCAGGAAAAATGCGTGGGCAAAAAATGTGCAATGTGTTTGGCATATGTAAAGATGACTGTTTTAGTAAAGTCACTGAAATTGTTGACAGCTTCCGCTTACAAGAATAGTGGCGTGAGTCTGGTGACTGCATCAAGAGTAGATATTTGATATCGACACTAATCTCTGCTATATCATATAAATGAAGCTGACCAGCTGCAAAGTCAGTATTGCGTTTTGAATTTGGAATGATGTTGCTGAACTTTTACTTGCTATTTTTCCTTATCTTCTCGGTGGCACCTCATACAATGTCACAATTAGATGTTATAGGCACTGCACAACAACACTTAGCTAAACTGGGATTTTTGTCCAACTATGTGGAAGATTTCTCCCTTGAGCCTGCGTATCCAGATGATTTATCTATGGATGGAACATTAAATTCCAAAGAAGTTGTGCTAATTCCGAAGAGTTTGATAGATTCGAACAGCAGAACTATTCTCAACTATTTACATGATTTTGGATATTTGGACAGTTACACGAGACTGAAATCAGATGGATCTGAGGAGACAGCTATGATGAGTACTGACGACCTTGAAGGAGCCTTGGCATTGTTCCAGTTCACTAACTATCTACATCCAACAGGTAGTGTTGACAAGGAAGTCAAAGCGCAGATGAAAATACCTAGATGTGCTCTACCGGACATTGATCCTGATGATCCAGGTAACATTGCTTCCCTTATGGGAATGGGGACCATAAAAGATGTCAATGACTTAAAAGATAGGATGAGAAACAGTATGTACAATTTGAGAACTAATAGTAATCAGGACATGCCTCTGGATGGAAGAACCAGCATAGTAACCCTGGAAAAGAAGTATGACATTGCAGATGAGAAATGGCCGAGGAATAGATTAGCTTACCACATAGGAAGTTTAAGTGACACTCTCGGTAAACGCACAATGAGTGAACTAGTGCGCGCGTTCCAAGTGTGGACAGAGAGTGTTGAGATATACCTGTACCAAGTGGAGAGAGAGGAGTTAGCGGATATCAGGATCAAGTTCATGACTGGAGACCATGGGGACAAGTACCCATTTGACGGTCCTATGGGAGTACTAGCACACGCCTTCTACCCTCGTAGCGGAGAGGTACACTTTGACAATGAAGAGGAGTTCACTCAATACTCCAGCAGAGGAGTAAATCTGCGATACACTGCCGGTCATGAGTTTGGACACACTTTAGGCTTAAAGCACTCCTTGGAGAAGGGCACTCTAATGTCACCCTATCATCCCGGCTACTCTAAGAAAATATTTCTTAAAGAAGATGACTTAGTAGGGATTTCCAAGCTATTCAAGCTCGGAAAAGGGGCTGTCTACACTGCTGACACGGTAGAGGCACGAGAATATCAGAAATATTTACAAAACAAATTTGAGAATTCGCAGGATAGTAAACCCCACGTTGAAAACTCAGCCTGTATTGAAGACATAGATGCGGTGATTCACCATCCTCACACGCAAACACTCTTCTTCTTCACCAAACACCTTTACTACAAGGTAGAACGGGACAAGGTGGGTGAGATGGGTGTTATGGAAGGTTATCCTAAACAGTTATCTGAGGGCTGGGATGGTTTGGAGGATAACATTGACGCAGCTTATGTTAACACATCCATTTCAGCAGCTTTCTTCTTCAAGGGTGACAAGTACTGGAAATACAACTTTCTTACAGAGAAAATGTATGTTGGTTTCCCCAAAGTAATTACCACTCCTAACATTCCCAGTAATCTGACAGCCACTATGATGTCAGGAAATGTGGCATATTTCTTCTCACAAGATAAGATAGTTAAACACAGAGTTGCGAGCAACTCTTACCATCAAATAACGGATAAGAAGGTGGATGTTGAGGCTACCTTCCCTCTCTTCGTGAAGGGCTACTTTGGTATGACGCACGGGTGCACTTACTCCATCTACAAAGTAAAGACAATGGAAGCGGTTGAAGTGTACGATGGTCGCCCACTCTCATGGGACTACGGGTTACCAATGTGTGTTGACTCCTTGTCAATCAGTAGGGACATTAATCCCAAGATGAAGCCTTTCTGTGAAGCGTATGCCTATCTTGCCTTTGGAGATGCTGACTTGGAGATTCCTAAAGAGTGTTACAGCCTTGTAAGACCATTCCCTGCTTACCCACTTGAAGATATTATAGACTTGCAATATGAGTTGTAGTCCTACCATTCCCTGCTTACCCACTTGAAGATATTATAGACTTGCAATATGAGTTGTAGTCCTACCATTCCCTGCTTACCCACTTGAAGATATTATAGACTTGCAATATGAGTTGTAGTCCTATGGATGGTGTCTGATAAACTTAACCGCATAATCTTCTGCAGCTACTGTAACCAAGCCGTCCACTTTTACTTGAACTGTATATAGTCTGCTCCAGTTTGTACAATAATTTATAAATTAGTTATATAATTATAGTGATTATATAAACTTATAAGTCAGTTTATAGAGGGTTCCAGTGGCTACTACACTGTCGTTTCATGTAGTAGTTATGAACTAAAAAGCCGAACGTTCTAAATAAGTCTTCTGTGAACATACTAACGTCGATATTACTGTGGGCTTGATAATGACGAGATATTTAAATGTTAATTTATTAATTATAATAAATTTCATGTTATATTTGGCTTATAACGGAATTGATTTATGAGAACGATTTACAGATTTAGATATGCTGTGGACGAATGATAAATGTAAATATGCGATACGTTTTTTCGTCGAAAGCTAATTGTTTTTCAGTTTTTATTTGTCACTTTTTAATTAAATAGAAACGTAATGGTTCAAATGAAAAGGTACTTACGACACTGGAACTGCGGAGTTGGATAGTAAGTTCCGACGTTATGAAGTCCTCTACTTGACACTAGTAGTACTGTTAACACTACTGTTAACCACAATGGGAGTCCTCGAGCAGCCAGGGCCGGTCCGACAATTAACAAGATCTGATAACTTCTTCAACCCGTTATATAGTATAACACTTTCGAGCTAAATTAATTTCTTAGTTAGACGCGACATTTCCTTTTTTACTATTACACTGAGTCCGAAAAAGTTAAAATTGAAGGAATGAACAGATACAAATCACAAAGTACAAATCGGAAAACTAAAACTCAAACTAAAGCTAAAACTAAAACTGAAACTGAAACTGAAACTGAAACTGAAACTGAAGCTGAAACTGAAACTGAAACTGAAACTAAAACTAAAACTAAAACTAAAACTAAAACTAAAACTAAAACTAAAACTAAAACTAAAACTAAAACTAAAACTAAAACTAAAACTAAAACTAAAACTAAAACTAAAACTAAAACTAAAACTAAAACTAAAACTATAAAACTATAAAACTAAAATTAAAACTTAAGCTAAAACTTAAACTAAAACTTAAACTAAAACTATATATATCGAGGATGGATGATTTAGGGTGATTTGTCCAACTGTCCAAGGTATTTGGGTATTATGATATAAAATCTTATAACTGAAATCGAATAAAACTTACGGGGTAGCCCCTATATAAACATTCCAAATAACAGAGCGGGTAGGAATGTTGAGGTTAACTTCGACTAGGATACAGATTTTTGTATTTCACTTGACTGATGGCCCATTCGCTCATTCAGACATCTCGATGAATTATTGGGCAACTTTGGGCATTGAGATTATTCGTTTCTTTTACGATAGTATAAACGCGATAGCTAGATTATTCTAATCTAAAAAGTTCCTATGTTACTTGTAAATTGTAATGTGCACAATGATATGCATGTCGTACGTGTCCAAATAAACTTTATATATAATTGATAATCAGTTTAGATTTAATATAGCAGTTCAGATCATATCTCTAATTGGAAATGTGTCGTATTCGGATAATACAAATGTAAGCACTAAGCAGGTAGGTATTCAGAAGAAGATATAAATGTAAGCAGGTAGGTATTCAGAAGATAACACAAATGTAAGCAGGTAGGTATTCAGAAGAAGAGATAACACAAATGTAAGCAGGTAGGTATTCAGAAGAAGAGATAACACAAATGTAAGCAGGTAGGTATTCAGAAGAAGAGATAATACAAATGTAAGCAGGTAGGTATTCAGAAGAAGAGATAACACAAATGTAAGCAGGTAGGTATTCAGAAGAAGAGATAATACAAATGTAAGCAGGTAGGTATTCAGAAGAAGAGATAATACAAATGTAAGCAGGTAGGTATTCAGAAGAAGAGATAATACAAATGTAAGCAGGTAGGTATTCAGAAGAAGAGATAATACAAATGTAAGCAGGTAGGTATTCAGAAGAAGAGATAACACAAATGTAAGCAGGTAGGTATTCAGAAGAAGAGATAAATGTAAGCAGGTAGGTATTCAGAAGAAGAGATAAATGTAAGCAGGTAGGTATTCAGAAGAAGAGATAAATGTAAGCAGGTAGGTATTCAGAAGAAGATATAAATGTAAGCAGGTAGGTATTCAGAAGAAGATATAAATGTAAGCAGGTAGGTATTCAGAAGAAGAGATAAATGTAAGCAGGTAGGTATTCAGAAGAAGAAATAAATGTAAGCAGGTAGGTAAAAGCACAGTTATAACTAATATACATGACACAGGTATGAACATTGTTATAGACCTATGACCTATAGCTACTGAACATATACACTACTGGTAAGTTCTCACGCCCTTAGCTGGTAGCATGCCTATACGTTCTAGCTAAACACCAAACTTAAGGAAACAAATCGACCGAATATAGCGGATAAAACAAGAAATGGCCCGAATAGCGGATAAAACAAATTATGGCCCAAATAGCGGATAAAACAAGAAAAGGCCCGAATAGCGGATAAAACAAATTATGGCCCAAATAGCGGATAAAACAAGAAAAGGCCCGAATAGCGGCGCCGGGTAGAACAAGAAATGTGCAGTGAGGCTAACAGGCTGGCCCGACTAGCGGATAGAACAAGAAATGTGCAGTGAGGGCGAGGCTAACAAGCTGGCCCGAATAGAGGATATAACAAGTGCCCCAAGGAAGATTTGGCTTATGGTAGTACAATTAACAATTAGCGGTAAGCGCTGTCGGAGACTGAAAGACCACTCTGATTATTAATTATTATACTGCTTGCTCCTTGCTCCTTGTTAGAAACAATGTTACCTTACAGGCATTGTACAGATATAAAATACCTCGGACTTCACCTTGGTCCTACTGCTACTCACCTTCATTCAGTTTACTCGGAAATAGTTGTCTAAGTAAGACCGTTTTTCTTATTGCTAATTAAGTAAACTGAACACATTGTACACTTTGAGCTGTCTATTGAAGCAGTATAATTTGTTAATACGTCTAGTATAGCTATATTTATATAGCTAGCTACTACTCTAGCTAATAGCAATATCACCATTAACAATACACGCTCGTCTAGATGAGTACACGGAATCTGGCACACATTCTCTTATTAACTAATTGTCATGCATAATAATGAGTTAATTGGTTAATAACATAATTGGATGTACCAAAATCTTTGCGAGCATCTTCATTTGGTTTTAGGACGAAACAATTTCGGGCCGGGTTATAAAATATTTATCCAAAATTTTGAATTTATAGGTTATATAAAGTGTTCAGTTGCATGGGTAGAACCAGCAACACTATCCGCTTGTACGTGATCATAGTGGTGCAGGTATTTCAAGGTTAGAAACTAGTAAGTACAGTTAATTAAGCTAATTTCAAGGTTAGAAACTAGTAAGTACAGTTAATTAAGCTAATTTCAAGGTTAGAAACTAGTATGTACAGTTAATTAAGGTATTTCAAGGTTAGAAACTAGTATGTACAGTTAATTAAGGACCGCCATACCTCCGCAAACAAAGGCTAGCCAGAGCAACGTGACACTAAAGGGATACCGCTACAATGTGCACCGTTATAATGTTTATATAATATAATAGTATATAATAATATAATGTTTCTCTAAATCACCATGTGAAAATTCAAATATTCTTTTTAAACTACTTAATATTCCCATCAGGGCATCAGTTGTAAGCTTATAGTGCTGACAGCTTTTCTACTTCTAGCCCTAGAAAAGGGTGTTAATACCTACGACATAATATCTTTGCATGGCTTTTATTAAGTCACGAGATTTGCTCCAAATTAACTGATACGTGGATATTTCACAAATTTTAACAGAGAGGAAAACGGAAAATTCAACGTTATCTACTGTATTTAAAAATGAGAAATTGACTTCAAAAGAATTTGGAACCAATAAGAATAATAAATGAACCGCACTTAATTGCCAATAAACCACTGAGAACGTTATAAATACGGAAACAATGCGGCTAGTGAGGTATTCAGAGAACAAGTAACCAGCACACGTGATGACGTGACTACATATCTGCTAATTAGATAATCAACTATAATTAGGAGATCCTCAGACCGAGCATAGACATTAGACAGCTGGAAAATAAGAAAGTGAAGTAAGGGTAGAGTGAATAGAATGTAGCACTTCGACAAGGAATACTGGCGTTTTTACTGGAGAAGCAAAGCTCGCTAATTGGCTGTAATCTTGGACAGGATTAATTAATTAGAGTTTATTAGATTAATTAGGAAAGCAGCGGTTATTTTTAACGCAATCCTCCTCCTGTCATGTGCAGTGAGACATGGCTAGTTAGTAGGTGGTATTGTAGAATGTTACATGTGCACATATGTAATGTGTAATGTGCAGAATGTGTTACTGTTATGGTTCTTAGTGTCAGCTTCACCAACCAAGACCTATTAGAGTATTAGTTTTTAGTTAAAAAGATAGAAAGATGAGTGTTATAACTTAGCAGTGCTGTAACGTTGCCTGTTGGTGCCTCCCCCCCCCCCCCCCCCCCCCCCCCCCGCATATATATTCAGGACCCATATCTGACGTTTAACCCACATCTGTCAGCTGGTGGCTCGTGACATGGTTGAGCAATTTCAACGAGCAGGCAGATTAACCATCTGATCCACTGGGCCGTTCTGTATTAACTATTGTATTAACTGTAATATATATGATTTGCAAATAACAGCAGTCAATATGAAAAGACAGTAATACTGCAATAAAATAGACGGTACAACTTACTAGGGCTTTCATCTAAGACATTTTCCTTGGTTGCCACAGTAGATTCCGGCTCAGCTGTACTAGAGGTTAAATTGGTGTCGACAGTATCAGAATCATCCGTCGCTAATATTTTACCGTTTTCTACCTTTGGTTCTTCTTGTACTGTTATCTGAACACGATGGATACGAATTACAATTACTGAATATTTCGATAAGGTAGTCACAAGTCATTGTTGATTGTATGACAAAAGCTTCGCTTCGTGCAAATATGAAATAAGGGCAGAAATATGCCCGACAACGTGAACTGACGCGCGCAATTCACAATTCAACTTGATCTACGCAGCAAGCTATCAAACTATTAAACAGAGCTGAGTTGTTATTACTTCATTAATGAGATGGTGCGCGAGTAACGGTTACTATAGTAACGGTTACTATAGTAACAGTTACTGTTACCAAACTAACCTGTTTGATCTGAGTTGCAGTAGCCACGTTACTTTCTCCAACAGGTGAAGTAGCAGATATTAACACTATCGTCAGCAACATGGTGAGCGGCACCACTTTTACTTGGGACCAAATCATTGCACGTCAAACCAGCTATGGAGAATAGTGCATACAAGCTTAACCTTTATAAAGATTAATATAAGGGGTATTCTTCTTTTCAATGTGCGAATAGTTATAAAATAACAAAAGTAGTGTAAGGTATGCTGGATACTTAAATAACAAAAGTTATCTGTAAGGTATACTGGATAAAAGAGCTGCGTTTAAAACACCAGGATGTTCTATTTATAGACACAGTGTGACACTACAGGGTGTTACTGTTCCTACTGGATAACTGCAGAACATACTGGATCAATATAAGTGGTGATATCAATGGGTGGAAGGTAGGGCAACAATCGCCATTAGATCAGGTAATAAGAGCTCTCAGATTTTAAATGGCTGAAAGATGCACGTGCAATACACTTTATTACTGTAGCTGCCAGTACAGCTGCAGTAGAGGATGATAATAAACACATGAATGTACACCTACTAAACGACAAGATAGCTGTTAGAACCAGTAGTTTTGGTATGGGGGATTAGAAGCTCTTAACAATAACCTGGAACAGGGGGAGTGCAGTATACAAGTTATACCTATCTGAGATTAGGATCAAACATAATGACCAGTGACCACCTTTGTCTACAAGTGTACTAGTTTACAAGTGTTATACTAGTCTACTAGTCTAATGGATTAGGCCCCATAGCTCAATGTTTTGTCACGGTGTTGTTTAGGGTTGGGTTGACTGAGGAGTTGTAGCGGCTCTGTAAGGGTCTTACCGACAGATCTATTGAAATTGATAAGTGAGGGAGTCTAGTCGGCCACCCGTCTTTGTACTAGAAGTTGTGCGATAAAGATTAAATAGTTTGTTATTCAATATGCGCATAGCTAGATAAAATTATGGAAGACAAATGTTTCAGATTCAATTTCAATTTGCTACAAATTTGCTTTGTTTCACGTTCAGCCCACTTAAGCTACAGCTATTTCATCAATACGCCTACCCTGACGAAAACAAACCAGAAAAGAACAAAAAATTACCTACGTCAAACTGAATTCGTATTATACAACCAGAAAGTCCGTAACCATTGGCTGAACAAATATTTACAAATAACGATTTATGAGCCATAGGCCGTGCTACCATGGTTCAAAAACTACTTTTGCTCGAACACCCTTTTCATAGTTTTCAACTTTGGAACTAAGTTACAGAAGCAATTCTGGACAGAGCTTCACGATTCTAACACTACAAAATAATTTAAAGTATGAGCCCAGAGCCACCACCCTTGCTCGAACACCCTTTTCAACTTTGTAACTAAGTTACAGAAGCAATTCTGGACAGAGCTTCACGATTCTAACACGCCACATAATGGTACTAAGTACACGCACAGCCACCACACGTGCTGCTGTCTTTTAACGTTTTGTTTCGTACTATAGACCGACATTTTATACCCAAAAATGGTTATAATTAGCAATGATGCTCCAATAATCAACATGCTGGCATCAAAAACACGAAACAGTGTGCCAGCTACTTTTATATTAATATGGAGTGTAATTTAATTAAAATATAAACTGTGAAGCAATCCGTGCATAGATTTACCTTTTTGAGCAGTTGCTTAAAATTGAGCAGTGCGGAAATGAGAAACGAAGGTCCTAACACATGAAGTACACTACAATATGTCAATCTAACAGTCATATCCATTTACCCCGAGTATAATAGCTAATGACAAGTATTGACTGAGGACCTGGACTCGTTGTGAGGGGTCTGCCCACGCTGCGCCTCTAGGTTAACCCTTCTGAAGACGATCAGACTGACCGCTGACGCTATCAGATAAGCTATTAGAGACATGCTGCTCAAATACATGCTGCTGCTCGACAGTCACTTTCTGGCTATACGATCATATTAAAGTTAGGATAACAAGACAACTTAGGACAGATACTGAGCTATAGTGTTCATTTTTCTTGCTTTTTTCAAAGAGGAACAAGAAAAGGCTAAATCATTTCAAGACATTATCAAAAGCGACTTTTTCAACTATACAAAATTCAAATTGATGAAGGAGCCTCCCTTGAGCAGCTGATAGCATACATCTGGTCCAACAAAGTGAAACCAAGAGACAGGGAGTCGACTGCGATTAAGGCTTTTTTGCCGGTTTATTCAGATCCTCTGTCTAAAAGAAAACACAGATCACTGATTATACCTGCAGGACGCTTAGCTTTTTAAAGGTTTGTGGGTTTACCATCAGATCACTGTCGCGGCCTGGCCAGCCTCTCAAAATTGAAAGATCCTTCGGCTCCTGTAAATTTTAGTTAGTCACATGCTATTATATCGTAGGACTCCTACTAGGAGAGACAAAGCAAATGATAAAATTAGCATCCTCTTAGAACTACTCTAGTTTAATAATCTTTTATTATAATCAACTGCTTAGCAGTACAGCAAGTATTTAGTTGTTCATTATAATATGTGGGACCACGCCTTTACAATTACAAACTTTACAATCCTTAATGGAATTGTTGGTACTTATTATCATTACCACAGACGTTCATTAGGTAAACTAAGTAAGATCAGATTCTCATTTGTTGAAAATAAAGATCATCTACCAATCAACCTTCGTTCTTGGTAAGGTGAGTGCATTTCTGTAGAGCTGTAGGATCTAGTAATTACCTTTTCAAGGTGCTTCTAGAAAGAAAACAAAGTTGTGTTGAAACCCACAAGAGAGACACGTATACAATAATAAAGTATTGGGATCTAACTTACCTGTACCTCAGGCTATCATAATCATGTTCATAAACATAGAGATTATGCGGAATGACAGGCTGAGCGCCGCCCAGTAACTGTAAGGATCTAACTACAGTAAAACCCCGATTTACCACCAACCCCGATTCACCGCGGCCATTTCCTTTCCCCCAAATAGGGCTGAGCATGCATAATGTAAACAAACAAAACCCCTATTTACCGCGAACCCCGATTTACCGCGGATGTTTCCTTTCCCCCAAACTCCGCAGTAAATCGGGGTGTTACTGTTACTGATTACATATGCATAATCACGTGATATGGCTGATGAGGGATGATCATGAACAGAAACTGTTAAAATACATTTATAACCGCGCGTACAAAAGGGACCGGGGACAAATATGGACGGCAAAATAATGTACATTGAAATTTTAAAGTTCGCTGCTGCAATATTCACATTTTGCTTCATAACGTTTGCAGTGATAAGTCACTCAACAAGTTACTGAAGGTTATAAATACTCCAGCTGTATATACAGGTCTCACTGAGGGAACTAACCAGCTGGGACTCAGCCGGAGTGGTTAGTTTCCTTTGTCTATTACTTAATTGTGTAAACTGTGATAGTGAAACTTTAAGGCAGTGAAACTTTAAGGCACAGTAACTATGAAACTACTACAAGCTATTACTTTATTACAAGCTAAGGATTTGGTGTGCATTTTAAATAGGTATATAATATGTTGCTCGCTACCAATTTAATAGCTGCGTATACTGCAAATTAACAACATCAGATTGCTTGGATCGAAATCGAAGCAAAGAAAAAAGTAAAAATTGGAGCAATTTGACGAGGTTGATAAACTGATAAATTATCAAAAAAACACTATTCGACTCACAACAAACCATTTTACTCGCACGAGTGAATTAGGATATCAAGTACAATACAGTACGGATAAAATTCAATATAAAGGTATAAACTAATTTTACGGTCGTATTTTTTGAAAATCATTCAGTCTCAACCTTATGTATAGACAAGTTTAGTGACAGCCTTAAATCGATAATAACTGTCATTTCGTTGAAATATGATCACAATATTCTACGGACAATAAGAGTTTCTTTTTTAAAGTGATCCCAACAAGTATAGAAACGAAGCATACTTATTGCATACTTATAGTACAAGTTCCGTAACACCTGCGCACTGCTGCTCGGACAGCAAGCAATCATCATGTTGGTCGAAAACATGATCATTAGAAAAGTTTATTGAGCGGGAAATACAGGCTGTACTTCTCACTATAGCACCTTATAGTAACACGGCAGACATTTACAGTTAAATAGTGAAATATAAGTGAAATATAAGTGAAATATAAGTGAAATATATGTGAAATATATTATGTGAAATGTAAGTGAAATAGTGATTTTAAAATATCACTATAAATATGATTTACTGTCTCGTGTGTTTGATCGCACTAATGGTCGACATATTTGTTAAGTTCTAATGATCTTAACTAACTATGTATAATACCACACTCCAGATTCCTGAATCTCGTAGGGTGATGAAACTAAGGTATTACAGTAAAGTATCAGTTGTAAAGGATTATAATTAGCAAGATCACAAACATATATCATCGTGCCTTATGAAATATTTCATAATTCGAGATCTCTTCTGTTCTATTTAATTCAGGAAAAGCTTATTAATATTAATCGACGATCGTAATTCGTAGCTCATAATGAAAAGTAATATATTCGGGAATGTTAAATCCTTTCCAGGCTATATTTGATTCGGCCTGGGCTGCCACATAACATTTTCACTGTGGAGGGGTAAGATACATAGTCACTAGTTTAGATACACGTACAGTATAACTCACACTTGTTGTCTCAATAGTTGTGGTACATTAGCCCGACAACACTCCCCTTACTGACACGTGTGGGGAGCTGGTGTTGTTACTAACACGTGTGGGGCTAGGTGCAGTTGTTAGTTTACTCAGTGCTACTATTAAAAGTAATACAATGTGGTTATCAAGACTATAATACTCACAATACCAATACATAAACAATACTACCACACTGTAATCCTGAATATGAAGTAAGATAAAATACAAGATTATAGAATAGTATGACTGTATGCGCAGATCAGCTGATTATTAGGAATTCCTTTAGTTTTCAAAATTGCTTCAAATTTGGACATTTCTCGTGGTCCTTACGTAAGCAGTAAGCCAGCGCTTTTTTCAAGGCGGCACAAAGTAACGTTACGCCACTGTTTTCGAGGCTAAATTTCCAATTATTAGCTCAGGATTTTACTCCTTAAAGTGATCAGGAATGCATCTTCAAAGAAATTAATCGTCATTTATTAACAATTTCCAGCCTGCCAAGTTTACTGAGTTTCTCGGTTAACAAGTTATAGTAGAGTCATTATTCTCCTCAAGCCCCTGACTCTCTGCGTAATGAACTATCAAGCTCTTTTTCTGATGACTGTTCCCTGCGGTAATGCCCGTTACCATGGTGATTACCGTGGTAATACCCGTTACCATGGTAATTACAATAGTAATGCCCGTTACCATGGTAATTACCGTAGTAATGCCCGTTACCATTTAATTTAATACACTCAGAGTTCATAGTTAATAGGGTCTTCCAGACAATGAGACAAGGTTATCACTATATTCCAAATATTCCAAGTCAGTCTCCCAGAAGAATAACCCATCATCAGAACTACAATGTCAGTCTCCCAGAAGAATAACCCATCATCACAACTACAATGTCAGTCTCCCAGAAGAATAACCCATCATCACAACTACAATGTCAGTCTCCCAGAAGAATAACCCATCATCACTACTACAATGTCAGTCTCCCAGAAGAATAACCCATCATCACAACTACAATGTCAGTCTCCCAGAAGAATAACCCATCATCATAACTACAATGTCACTATATTCCAAATATTCCAAGTCAGTCTCCCAGAAGAATAACCCATCATCACAACTACAATGTCAGTCTCCCAGAAGAATAACCCATCATCATAACTACAATGTCAGTCTCCCAGAAGAATAACCCATCATCACAACTACAATGTCAGTCTCCCAGAAGAATAACCCATCATCATAACTACAATGTCAGTCTCCCAGAAGAATAACCCATCATCACAACTACAATGTCAGTCTCCCAGAAGAATAACCCATCATCATAACTACAATGTCAGTCTCCCAGAAGAATAACCCATCATCATAACTACAATGTCAGTCTCCCAGAAGAATAACCCATCATCATAACTACAATGTCAGTCTCCCAGAAGAATAACCCATCATCATAACTACAATGTCAGTCTCCCAGAAGAATAACCCATCATCATAACTACAATGTCAGTCTCCCAGAAGAATAACCCATCATCATAACTACAATGTCAGTCTCCCAGAAGAATAACCCATCATCATAACTACAATGTCAGTCTCCCAGAAGAATAACCCATCATCACAACTACAATGTCAGTCTCCCAGAAGAATAACCCATCATCACAACTACAATGTCAGTCTCCCAGAAGAATAACCCATCATCACAACTACAATGTCAGTCTCCCAGAAGAATAACCCATCATCACAACTACAATGTCAGTCTCCCAGAAGAATAACCCATCATCACAACTACAATGTCAGTCTCCCAGAAGAATAACCCATCATCACAACTACAATGTCAGTCTCCCAGAAGAATAACCCATCATCACTACTACAATGTCTCATACTGAAGACACCGTGTTTCCATTGCTCGGATCACTCGTAAAATCCACAATCCTCTGAAACTCTCTCTTCGGACTACGAGCTAATTTATAAGATTTAGCCTCCTCTGTTGGGCATTTTTTAAGAAAGTTATCCAGAGATCGACTAACACGTGACCCGTTCTTTCTTCTAACTGATCCCGAATGAATTGAGCCGACTGATGATGATCTCCGAAGGCTAACCTGAACTTTCTCCGTATTTGAAGCCGGCATATCAGCTGTACTATTATCTGATCCTCGTTCAGAATATGAAACATCACTGTCTGCCACTGAAATACTATCATCGCATTCTACGCATTCCGGTCCTTGAAGGTTGGGAATCTTTATCTGTCCAGTTGTTACACCTGCTGGGGGTGAACTTTATAGTAACTACTCTCATCACATGTTACCTTTCAAAATATTATTTTCAGTTGAAGTACAGAGATAATAACAACAATCTATCACTCATTCCACTAATACTCGAATACTCGAATACTCTAATACTCTAATACTCTAATACTCTAATACTCTAATACTCTAATACTCTAATACTCTAATACTCTAATACTCTAATATAAATACTCTAATATAAATACTCTAATACTCTAATACTCTAATACTCTAATACTCTAATACTCTAATACTCTAATACTCTAATACTCTAATACTCTAATACTCTAATATAAATACTCTAATATAAATACTCTAATACTCTAATACACTAATACTCTAATACTCTAATACTCTAATACTCTAATACTCTAATACTCTAATACTCTAATACTCTAATACTCTAATACTCTAATACTCTAATATAAATACTCTAATATAAATACTCTAATACTCTAATACACTAATACTCTAATACTCTAATACTCTAATACTCTAATACTCTAATACTCTAATACTCTAATACTCTAATACTCTAATACTCTAATACTCTAATACTCTAATACTCTAATACTCTAATACTCTAATACTCTAATACTCTAATATAATAAAGATTAAAATAACAACACTATTCAGCACATACGTTGGGGGTTGGTTTGCGGGCTTGAGGATTTTGGCGTTGTAGCATCTGACTGTGATCTCCTGAATCCTCGGTCAGCTCTTAAAAATCCACTGAAAAAAAAGTACATTTCCCGGTCATTTTTACCATTAGCATCCATTTTGCGGATAAGCATTAGTCGAGACCATTTACAACTACATTTCCAGTTTTTAAAGGAAGAGTAACCAAGATACACTATTTAACAAAGTTTTTATGCACATTGCATGTACAGAAAATAATAATATTTATAACTGACTTATTCATTGAACTTTTACCTTGAGGAGACGAATTTGGGACCATTTTGGTTGTATTCGACAGCACAGGTGGAGTTTCTGATAACTTTATTATCTGTCACCGCTGACGGGTTCCGGAAAGTCTGGTAGAGGTATTGGTTTTAACCGGACATTGTAGCAACAACATTGTAGCAACAACATTGTAGCAACAATATTGTAGCAACAACATTGTAGCAACAATATTGTAGCAACAACATTGTAGCAACAATATTGTAGCAACAATATTGTAGCAACAATATTGTAGCAACAACATTGTAGCAACAATATTGTAGCAACAATATTATAATTAATGGTAATACGGCTATTAGAGGTAGCAAAAATATAGATTATGTACAAGATACAATTACAAAATTAACAGAAGTAAGTATATTTTATTTTCTTAACAGATCCTTTTTCAAAAAAGTGCTCACAAGTTAAAAGAATGTATTACTTAGTCAAAATAATTTCTAATCGATAATGAGGTAATAAACATTAAACAATTGTTAAAAGTTCATGTATAGCTAGAAATTTTGAAGGTAGAGTAGTCGGCAAAGAGAGATTTGATAAGAATTACTTTATTTTGGTAGTATTACCCAGACAAAGGATATTAACTTTAACCCTTTTATAAAGAACATGCAGTTATACTAAAGGAAACAAAGGTTATAGTTAGTAGATCCCACCAACGAGCACGAGTTATTAGTATTTGTGTGCTGTAAGAATAAGAACTACTCTTTACCCAGCTACTGCTAGTTAACTGAGGAGCTCCAGTCTCGAGAGTATTATCTGTATTCCACCTAATAGCACACTTAACAGTAACATAATTGAGTTTTCAGTGATACGAAGAAAGTTAATCGATAGCATCTCATTAAGATAATAAAATACTGGTTGCGCCATCCTGAATAGTCCCCATATCCTTACCCCAAATACTTGCAGGCTAGTCCCCATATCTTTACCCCGAATACTTGCAGGCTAGTCCCCAGATTCTGGTTCTTACACCAACGCTAACCCAAACATGAGTAACCCAAACATGACTAACCCAAACATGAGTAACCCAAACATGAGTAACCCAAACACGACTAACATAAACCCATACCTACAACATATTCACAAGATTTCAGGCAGGAAGACAGTGACAGTCATAAAAATAGAAACATGCACACTTAGCTAGAAAGTTAGAAAGTTAGAAAGTTAGAATCAGATGATGGAGCATATATTATAGAGGGTGATGCAAAGATAGTGTCAGGACATTAGTTCGTATAAACCTGCATGACAGTGATATTACTCACTGGTGTTGGTTTATCGCCAACACTATTTGACTTTGTCAAGCCAGTTTTTTGGCAGCTGACGCCCTGTGGAGCTTGACGATTTGTGGCGCTGATGGTTGATAATCTACTATAATGACACTGAAAAGCATTCTAGGTTACAAATTACGATACATTTCTTTTCTTATATTAGAACGCACTATACATTGACATTATTATATTACAACAAGGGTCAGGGTCTGCAAAATTTAAAAACGCAAAAAAAATATGAACAAATTTGGATTTTTTATGGTTTTGTAGGTTTATAACATACATTTACAATCCAGTACCAATTGACGCGCGCCGAGTTAGACTGTACTCGTCGACGGTCTTAATATTTGGAACATGCGAACAAATATTTTACGAGTATCACCCGTTAATTATGGTTTTGAATGCATTCGAGCGTTCATTTTAATGTCCGTTCATAATTATGTCCGTTCATTTAATGTCCGGTCAAATAAGGTCCGATAAGGTAGCTTAAATGTCACTGTATGCGTTTATATGGAGAAGATATGTTAGGAATAGATGGTCAAGAGATAAAGCTTTGCGTTTCACAGCTTCAACATGGCTCTAGCTCCATATTGTAGCAAGAATATCCTTTGCAGTTGGTAGCTGAGTAGTGAATATCTGCACAGCATGGTACATCTCATTCAGTAGACCCTCTTACTTTAGGGGTTAGACTAACGAACCCATCATGTGTGGGCAATGACAGGCATTTATCCGATATTCCTCGTGACGTATTACACCTAGCTGTACACTGGTTTACGTCCTGGCAAACATTAATTTTTATCTGTAATAATTACGATCGGACCTAAGATGGCAAGTACGTACGGTACAGGGCTTTAAGTACGTACGGTACAGCTACTTTTAAAGGTACGTACCGTACAGGCACTGTAAGGTACAATTTTTTTCAAATTTTCAGAATTAACTTCAGTGAATTACTTGCAATTTTTGATTAGTATTATCATCATAATTTTTGAGATAGAAGTCGAAAAGAAACACAGTGGTTAAAACAATAAAAGATTTAAGAGGAAAATTTGTGTACCAGATCGCTCTTAACCGGTACTACACTACTACTACTTGTAATTATCGTTAAACTCGAAGCTTCATCCTTTTGTTGCAGTATGCGAACACCAGCTTTTCAGCTAGCTCAGGTCGCAACCTTAATCTACGCTTGTCCATTATATACTCGTAGTCCCTAAAATTGGTCTCACAAATTGACGAAGAACTTAAAACACTGAAATCCATTGCTAGCAACTGGATTTGTACCTTTCAGCCTACTTTATTAAGTACGTACCGTACAGCTAATTTAAAGGTACGTACCGTACGTACTTGCCATCTTAGGATCGGACACTTTCATAATGTGTACCTGTTCCACATTTTGTGTAACTCATGATATATTTGGTTAAAGAAAAAAAAACAATTCGTGAAATATATCACTTTGTAATTTATAAATCATTATAATCAATGAAGCCCATCTCAGAAACTCACAGCTGATAAGATAAAGTGGCTACTGGGTGGAACTCACAGCTGTTAAAGTGGCTATTGGGTGGCACTGAAGGTGATATCAAATTCCTTCCTAATGCGAAAATATTCTACGATTGTGGAAATAATTCGCTCCCCTATCAGTTTTACATTTATGAAGACAGCATTTCCAAACGGGATTAATGTTTTTATTCTTTTTTCTGGGAACACTAAGTGCTCGTTCACAAAATCATTTTATCACTCAGCAGGCGATAATTTGGCCATTTTAGACCCAAACTTGGCTCACATTACACAAAGCTGTTGTGTAGTATATTGTATGAAAACGATCTCTAATGATCTGATTGTAGCAATTAATACATTAACTTATAAGCGTACTGTATATTATACCGAATAACCGTACAGCTCAGACTTTCACACAAGGAGCCTACATTTAGAGCAACAAAACAGACTTCACGGCTTAATGTGAATCTGATATTTTAGCGCAGGGTAACTGATTTTATCGGAGTCTTATACTTTTGAGAAGATTTAATGTTGTTCATTCATTATGTAAATTTATATGTAATTGATTGATTTCAAAGATTTCAAAATAAAAAAAACAATACCTGAGAGACGATTACAGCAGTGGATGAACTGTTCATGGGAGTGTCCCTACACTTGAGCAGGTTCACTACAAACTTCTTAAAGGTCTTGTTAGTGTTCATGTAAATTATAGGGTTTATTATAGCTGACATTGAACTGCAGCACGCCCCGAACACCTGTAATATCACAATGTTATCGCGGTGTTTATAATCTGTTACAATTTATAATAATGGTATCACGGATATCGTCATTCTTCAACGATGCTAATATAACGCCAATATTATAGAACTTTTTAAAAACCATACATTTTAGGAGAAGCAAATGTGCTAAATATAAATATAACCACTATAGCACTATAGAAGTAGGGTGATAAAACAGCTGTTTCAGTTGCAGGTTAATAGTGATCGTACCTGAAGTTTCGCCGGTACGATATCTTTATTGATAGATGACAACCCAACGAATATTACAAAAGGCAGGAAACATAGCAAAAATCCACCGATCTGTACGAAAACTGTCCCGAAAGCCCGGCGATGTGCCATGGTCATGCCCCTGCGCGGCGTCTCTTCTGAAGTAATGTTCAGTAATATTCACGGATGTTCACGGATATTCACTTTCAGGGATATTCAGTAATACATCACTAATCAGATACAGGTTAACAAATTCAATTGAAGGTTTAGGTACCAAACTTAAATTTAATATTTTATTCCACTTTTAATAGCTTGGAATGTATTAAAAGTTTACATAACATGGCTTATCAGACATTATTTCACAAACCGAACATTCTTACTTACATATTAATATTCATATTTAAATCTTTAAATATTATGTGATGTTAAAGTCTGTGATAATCATATCGAATAATGTGAGACGTCATTATCTTCTGTGTTCATGTTGTGATCTTGAATATCGCACTTTAAGTTTACATAATGTCTGATATGATAATTTGTTGCAACCACATTACATTTACTAGTGATCTGACGCATCATATTCATTATTCACCCACCATCCCATCTGCACACCGCCAGTATATACGTCTCTAATAAATAATGAATTAACATTACACGGTTTATTTGGCTCTCATTTGGCAGGTAATATCCAGTACATTAATTACTGACTAATGACTAGTGACTAATGTAAGTTAAATAATACGAAATGTCATGTTTGAGAATGGAGGTGCAAAATATTGTGTAGCAGGAAGTGGTTTCGATCCACCGACCTCTGGGTTATGGGCCCAGCACGCTTCCACTGCGCCACCCTGCTTTCTACTGACGAGAGAAACTAGTGCTTTATATATATAAAATTAAATATCATTATCAATTATGTATTTTGCAGTTGCGATAAAAACATTACTGACAGCTGTTTTATAAAATTGAATGTAAGTGGCCCATAACACGTTCAGACGTTTTATTTAATCATTGAATGAACACGTTTGGGAGCCATTTTTTCGAGCCATGATTTTGAATAAATTCGAATAAATTCGAACGATCATGTTGAAATCTACGGGACCACTAATATGCGCGGCCCCAAATATACGCAAATTCGGCCATTAACTATTTAATCCCGATTCTGATTGTTTTGCATAAAATTAGACTCTTTTTAAATTATGGAACGATGGTTATGAAAGTACAATAGTTAAAATGATGAGCTACTCTATAGTGCACTATAATTCACGTGCATTATCTTAACAAGCAGAGTGTACAACAAATGTATTAACTACTCTATGCTTGTCTTGTATCTTTAGTATCCACCGTTTATTCGTTTGAAATTGAAACTGATAGAGCTGATATTTTACTACAAAAGGCTCCAAACAACAACCCGAGGAGTTTGTTAATCAATTTAAAATCTCCATTGATTAATGTTGGTGAGAAATGATGCTGACAAGCTTTATAGTGGTTCTCTCCTTACTAAGAATTACCAGTCCTTATATATGCCAGCACCAGTCTCCTTCTGCTGATACCTTACAGACAGGTTTCTCCTCTGGACCTCAAACATCCGCTGCTCCCTTTCAGGTAGGCTCCCCACAAATATCCGCTGTTCCCTTTCAGGTAGGCTCCCCACAAATAGTGAATTACTTGGTAAAATATTTGATTAACGTTAAGCCACGAGGGTTATAATTTCCTGTTTCAGACTTTATAAACTGTTGATACCTGAACTATAGACAGCTTATGGAATACCTACTCCGACTATCCCTTCAGGTAACGTGGCACACCACAGAGAATATAGTTGCTGGTGAGATCCTAACGAATATATCTGATTTCATGTCGAGCAACATCTTGGTAAAACAAGCAATCGCCTCCATACACTTGTCTAGGAACTGTCCTCTAAGCCAGACAAACGAACAGACAAACGTACAAACAAACTCTCAGACGAATACTCACTATTGTACGGAGGAATGTGCAGCAGTAACTCAATGCGGCCCGGCCATTGTTCCAGGTAATACATTAGATTTGAATATGTGCAGAAGTAACGCAATGCGGCCCGGCCATTGTTCCAGGTAATACATTAGATTTGAAAATACGTGCAGAAGTAACGCAATGCGGCCCGGCCATTGTTCCAGGTATTACATTAGATTTGAAAATACGTGCAGAAGTAACGCAATGCGGCCCGGCCATTGTTCCAGGTATTACATTAGATTTGAAAATTTGCAGAAGTTGTGTTTATATTTTGAGGTACTGGCAAATACGAAATTTATACCCCTGACCTCATTTTCCTTCTTTTTTTTTCATTTAGTCGTTCAGCAGGTTTATTTTTAGTTCAAACTGTTTTAATTCAATGTTAAAGATAGGAATCAAAAATAGCCTGGTTATAAATATTTTATCTCTTAAGCTATATATCCTAAGTAATAATCGTGATAGCAATGTAACTGGTAATCCTAAGTAATAATTGTGATAGCAATGTAAAAAATGAGTGGTAACTATGGTAACTATAGCAATGTAACTGGTAATCTAATATATCCTAAGTAATAATTGTGATAGCAATGTAACTGTTAATCTAACACTGATCAGATGAACATCTGGGAAGGTGCTACGTTTGTGTAGATGATAGCAAGAGGTGTGGCTTCAAGGTCGGGAGCACTCTGGGACAAGGGATCACAGGGACACTTGGTGGTGTACTTGTCAGCCAAACTAACTAAAGACTGTCAAGATGATCCTATCCAAGCAGCCGCTTGTCAGGTTGGTATTTGGAACAATTTCCTAGCTTTTTTCATTGCCAATTCTTGTAAGTCAAACTTGAACATTTTCTCGTTTAGACGCGAACCTATCTGTGTTTACTTCTGTCAGCATGCATGATGCCACAAACTGTGCAAACATTTGTAAGGGATAATTAAAGGGTTCTGAATATCTAATTGGGTAAGTGATTACAGTGTCCCTCAGGTGTCGCCAGTCCACAAGAGGCCCATAGCCAGTTACATGAACATCTGTCCAGACCACAGTATCCCAGAAGAGGACATGTCTAACGTCTTGCTCCACCACCTCCTACATGTAATGGGAATATCACAGAGCCTGTTTGATCTGGGAGCCGCTAAATTAGAGGACTTTGGAACAAGATGGGGGCTGATACGTGAAGATTCTTACACTGTCCTAGATAAACAGTTCGTGGGTACTAAGAGCAAAGAGTTTGTTAGCAAACACTTTGGGTGTGAGAAAGGCTACGGCGTGCTTATGGAAAATCAGGACTCACGGTAGCAAATTTAAAAAACATTCTAAGTATTCTTTTAAATAAAATTTTGATTGATTTTGTACAATGTATATACATTTTTTAAAAAGAAATAATCCCGATAACACTCGACCTCTGAATGTATATAAATGCGGGAACTGCTATGATACCATCATATGATTAATGCAACTCTGCAGGAAGTGTCATGTAGAAGAGAGGCTATACAGAGGGGAGATCCTAACAGTTAATGTGACTAAAAGTAGCCAGTTTACAGACCTTACCTTCTCTATACTGGAGGACACTGGTTGGTATATTGCAGGTACGTATATAGCAGGTACTGGTTGGTATATAGCAGGTACTGGTTGGTATATAGCAGGTACATTTAGGAACATAGGACACGTTTAACATGCATTACTAATGTTCCCAACTAATGTGAAAGTGGAACTACTACTATCAAATAAGTCAGAACAAACTGCGAACCAGAAAATTTGGTGTATTAATATTTTGTTCACCTCAGGAAAATCAAAACAGCCTCCTTTCCCCGGTAAGTTGGGTTGTGATGTACTGGACAGAAGTTGTAACTTGTGGGTATCAGAGCAGAACAGTAACCATGACAACATCTACCCCTTCTGTGGTATCAGCAGTCAGAGTTACACGTGTAATACAGAGCACACTACTGTCTCGCAGTGTCAGACTAAGGAGCACAGTGTCGGAGTAGTTCCTGCTAAGTTCCAGTACCACGGACTGGCAGGTTTAACCTGATTATTTTGTAGAATCTACTTCAAATCAACTACTTAAGGTTTATCCTGATTATTTTGTAGAATCTACTTCGAATCAACTACTTACCACGGACTGGCAGGCTTAACCTGATTATTTTGTAGAATCTACTTCGAATCAACTACTTAAGGTTTATCCTGATTATTTTGTAGAATCTACTTCGAATCAACTACTTAAGGTTTATCCTGATTATTTTGTAGAATCTACTTCGAATCAACTACTTAAGGTTTATCCTGATTATTTTGTAGAATCTACTTCGAATCAACTACTTAAGGTTTATCCTGATTATTTTGTAGAATCTACTTCGAATCAACTACTTACCACGGACTGGCAGGTTTAACCTGATTATTTTGTAGAATCTACTTCGAATCAACTACTTAAGGTTTATCCTGATTATTTTGTAGAATCTACTTCGAATCAACTACTTAAGGTTTATCCTGATTATTTTGTAGAATCTACTTCGAATCAACTACTTAAGGTTTATCCTGATTATTTTGTAGAATCTACTTCGAATCAACTACTTAAGGTTTATCCTGATTATTTTGTAGAATCTACTTCGAATCAACTACTTAAGGTTTATCCTGATTATTTTGTAGAATCTACTTCGAATCAACTACTTAAGTACTTAACAAACGTTCAGATTTATAAATGTGTTGATGAAATAACTAATTAACTGACAGGTAATGGGTACAGAGCAGGACCCTACAAGTACAGTGACTACTGCATGCTGTTCAGTGAACATGAAGACAGCTATTCCTGCACCGACACCCCACAACCTAGCGGTGGAAGAAACTTCTTCCTTGAGAAGTAAGTAAGGGGCCGACACCCCACAACCTAGCGGTGGAAGAAACTTCTTCCTTGAAAAGTAAGTAACCGACACCGCACAACCTAGCGGTGGGAGAAACTTCTTCCTTGAGAAGTAAGTAACCGACACCGCACAACCTAGCGGTGGAAGAAACTTCTTCCTTGAAAAGTAAGTAAGGGACCGACACCGCACAACCTAGCGGTGGAAGAAACTTCTTCCTTGAAAAGTAAGTAAGGGGCCGACACCGCACAACCTAGCGGTGGAAGAAACTTCTTCCTTGAAAAGTAAGTAACCGACACCGCACAACCTAGCGGTGGAAGAAACTTCTTCCTTGAAAAGTAAGTAACCGACACCCCACAACCTAGCGGTGGAAGAAACTTCTTCCTTGAAAAGTAAGTAACCGACACCGCACAACCTAGCGGTGGGAGAAACTTCTTCCTTGAAAAGTAAGTGCACCGACACCGCACAACCTAGCGGCGGAAGAAACTTCTTCCTTGAAAAGTAAGTGCACCGACACCGCACAACCTAGCGGCGGAAGAAACTTCTTCCTTGAAAAGTAAGTAAGGGGCCGACACCGCACAACCTAGCGGTGGGAGAAACTTCTTCCTTGAAAAGTAAGTAAGGGACCGACACCGCACAACCTAGCGGTGGAAGAAACTTCTTCCTTGAAAAGTAAGTAAGGGGCCGACACCGCACAACCTAGCGGTGGAAGAAACTTCTTCCTTGAAAAGTAAGTAAGGGGCTGCACGTTGCTTCACAATTCTAGCTACCTTATAATAAGTAAGTGCAGGAATCATCTGCGAATTGAATCCTTAATAAAAAACCACTTCTCAGGCACGGTCCAAGCTCTGTATGTGTAATACACGATGGAGAGTGGGATATAAACGGATCTGACAGATCCAAGGGAGCCGGCTGTTACTCCATCTGCTGTAGAGACACTAACTTTGACGTGATAGATGTTTACAACGAGCCCCACAGCTGTTACCAACCTAAACAAACCATTCATGTGTCATCCTCCAACAACAATATCCGTGGTTCTTTGCAGTGCCCCAGCTGGGAGACTGCTTGCGGAGGGAGTGGTCGGACTAAGTGCCAGTCAGCAGGGAAGTGCATGACTCCCTCACTTAGCAACGGACAGGTATACAGCAGCCAGGGCATGTACCAGATCACCATAGGTACAACTCTGTCTTATGTGTGTTTTGATGGCTTCGTCATGCGAGGCTTCCCTTCTTCAGTTTGTCTTGGCAACAACCTATTTGCTAATCCTGTACCTGATTGTAAGCTTCCATGTGAAGACCCTTTCATTGAGTTCGGTACGGTTCTAAACTCAGCAGGGACTCAAAGACTAGTGGGTGACACAGTGACCTTCACCTGTAATACAGACTACAAACTAGAAGGGAGCAGTATCCTCACTTGTAGGATCAGCAGCTCAGGGTCCGAGAGAGCAGGTACATGGTACCCTGAGCGCCCTACCTGCAGGAAGGAGTATCTAGAGTGGTCAGGTTGGGGACCCTGCTCTGTTACTTGTGGAGATAACCCAGGAGAGAGGATACGGACCCGGGGCTGCTCTACTTGTGAAGATTTCGAGTATGAGAAGGAAGTGTGTTTTGTAAACTCCACTTGTGATGATAACAGTGGAGCTACTGTTCCTGACAGCCCGGCTGGAGCTAACAACACTGTTATCTTGGTAGCTGTGTTCGCTGTCTTCTTCGTCTTCACTATCTTCATTATTGTGTTTATTGTCTGGTTCTTCGACAAGTCTCAGACTCAGCAGCGATCTCAGTCTCAGCTCTTTAACGAAAGTTATTATTGGTCTCAGCAGAATGTCTCGGGATTCAAGCGGAGAGAACGGTATGGTATATTACTAATATGCATTATATGTAAGGTTATTGTGTTGTTCATCTAATGATTATGCAAAGTTAGGGTGTTACTTGTAATATGTTATGATAACCTAACATAGGTATATCAATAATCAATATTACATACTAAGTTATTTAAGTATTTAGTTCATTAGTTTAAGATCCATCAATACTTTATCACTTCACCGTTTTCAGCTCGATGGATTTGTCGTCAGAGTACAGTGCTGCAAGTGGAAGTGTAAAACAACTCTTCACCTCCCCTCCCTCCACCCCTTACACCACCGACACTCAACTATCCTCTAAAGGTTCTGAAGAGAGTCTCTTTGGAAGCGGAAAGAGTTTCCACATCCCGAGGATCCATTACAAAAACCGTGCACGGGTTTTTCCAAAGAAACCTGTAGTTCATATCCCAACTCCTCCCTCGTATCAGGAATCATTGGAGATGCCAACCTTCAGCCCCGATCAGAATACTGGAATAGCACCGGATACTATAACTAATGCTACTACTAATACTATTACTAATTCTGGAATAGCCACGGATACTATTACTAATGAACCACCGGACCTTGCAAAGTTGAGAGCCAGTATACAGGCAGCCAGGGTAAGAGTCAGAAATCATCCGTCAGTGAAAAGGTTGTTTGTGCCAAACCCTGTTACGGGAGGCTCTTACAATCCCAATCAAATACCCTTCGAGATTTCAGAAAAAGAAGAGGAAAACTATTTGGAGGATTCTTGGGATTTTAGACAAAGACAAACTGGGTTCAAGAGGCATTTTGGGTTTGCACCAAGTTCAGATTTAAAGGTCGAAGAAGAAGAAGATAACAAAATTGATGAAGTTGCAAGTCAAATAGAGACAGAGACAGTTGCAAGTCAAATAGAGACAGAGACAGATGCAAGTCAAATAGAGACAGAGACAGTTGCAAGTCAACTAGAGACATATCTGAAAGTAGAAGAAGAAGACGGTGGGGGCATAGACAAAAATATGAACGAGAAAAGTGAAAATTGAAGAGTGTGCAGAGAAATTGATTTTAAATTCTTAGACTTAAAGCTCTTGAAGAAATAATACGAAACTATAGTGCACCGATTGATCCGAACAGACTGTAAACGTAATGATAAAGTATGAAAAATAAAACTGTGATTTTTTTTATTATATCATGACGTATATATAATATCTAAAATAATATCTAAAATATTTGACCTTATCGTTATGATATAATATGTTTTAAATAGTTGTATTTATAGGCAGGTATAATTGTTTTATTTATAGGCAAACAGTACACTGACCATAAGAGCATAAGGCAGTATAAGCAAGTATGTATAATGTATATACATGTACTATATATAATGTATAATGTATATACAATGTACTGACCATTGTTGTTAAGTGCAGTTAGACCTCTTGTTCTTCGTACTGCGTTGATAGCAATGTATAAAAGCAATGTGTATACACCTGAAAATGGAGATTAACAGATCTGTAAATCAGAAATTGTTGACGCGAGTCATAAAAATGCACCAGTACGACAAGTAACATAACTACTGCAGATAGTTGATATATAGCTGACCTATAATGGTGCCCATAGGAACCACAATAAACACAAGAGCGTACACCATAACAGGGAGCATGTTGTCACTTATCATGGAGGCTAGACACACTGCTCTATCAGCATCGTAGTGCATCGGGGATATTCCTGGGAGGGAAACAAGTTAATAATAGGACAGTAGTGCATCGGGGATATTCCTGGGAGGGAAACAAGTTAATAATAGGACAGGTTTATGTGCATCGGGGAGATCCCTGGGAGAGAAACAAGTTAATAATAGTTGTGCATCGGGGATATCCCTGGGTGGGAAACAAGTTAATAGTAGTAGTGCATCGGGGATATTCCTGGGGGGGAAACAAGTTAATAATAGGACAGGTTTATATTATATATATATATAATATATCATCATGATATTTTATCATGATATTTTATATATTTGATATATCATCATATTTGATATATCATCATGATATTTTATAAAAATGCGGTAAGGTTTTACATGTAAATAAATCCATTGATATCGAAGTATATTTATGTATTATATCATTTGTATATTCATAAATAGGGGTGATCTAAACAAATGTTGGTCACCTAAGTAGCAGGTAAGTTGAGGAACAGTTGCCACTGTCCAGACACAGATTGATATCAGCCGGGCTGTTCTTCTCGTTATCTTTTTCCTGGGATTGTAATCGTGTTTTACCAGTGTTAAACTGTAATCTACTAACCTTGTATAACTTTCTTACAACTATATTCCTTTTATTTCCCATTGAAATTCAAGACACAAAATAGAAATAGAATAGAAACAAAAACAAGGTATATTTGATAACGATTAACTGTTCTACTAACGAGAAGGGGTATTTGATAACGATTAACTGTTCTACTAACGAGAAGGGGTATTTGATAACGATTAACTGTTCTACTAACGAGAAGGGGTATTTGATAACGATTAACTGTTCTACTAACGAGAAGGGGTATTTGATAACGATTAACTGTTCTACTAACGAGAAGGGGTATTTGATAAGGATTAACTGTTCTACTAACGAGAAGGGGTATTTGATAACGATTAACTGTTCTACTAACGAGAAGGGGTATTTGATAACGATTAACTGTTCTACTAACGAGAAGGGGTATTTGATAAAGATTAACTGTTCTACTAACGAGAAGGGGTATTTGATAACGATTAACTGTTCTACTAACGAGAAGGGGTATTTGATAACGATTAACTGTTCTACTAACGAGAAGGGGTATTTGATAACGATTAACTGTTCTACTAACGAGAAGGGGTATTTGATAACGATTAACTGTTCTACTAACGAGAAGGGGTATTTGATAACGATTAACTGTTCTACTAACGAGAAGGGGTATTTGATAACGATTAACTGTTCTACTAACGAGAAGGTATATTTGATAACGATTAACTGTTCTACTAACGAGAAGGGGTATTTGATAACGATTAACTGTTCTACTAACGAGAAGGGGTATTTGATAACAAACGCCCTGTGTACTCCAATCCACATCATGAAGAGAATGGAGACAATTCGGAGATAAGACACAGCAAATCCCACTATCCAGCACATGTTGATACCCATCACCCACCTGGGGGCAGCGGAGTGTTAGAAATGAGGAGGTGAGATTTAAATTAATAAATTCTGTTTTCCTAACTATATTTATTCAGGACGTTACAGAAGGAATTAATTTAATGTAGTCTGAGGAGTCCTCACTATCCTCACGCCCAAAAATGGAGTTTCTCTTGTCGCTAATATGATGATAAACTTGAGATATGTAGGAAAATTAAGTTATATTATTGATAAAGTAAATTAGTCACGTGTTGAAAGCAGCTGAAATAGCGGTAGAAGGAAAGGTGATGAGGCAGAGGAGGAAGTCAGAGAGGGAGAGGTTAGTGAGGAAGCACATCATGGCCCTCTCCAGCCCGCTCCACCGTCGTATTTTAATTATAGAAACCAGCACCAGGGCATTTCCTGAGGATAAGACAGCGTCATGTACACGTGCATACACAATTAGACTGAACTTATAGAAACATTATACTGATATAATACTAGATGCAAATTATTTGTTAACTGCGACAATAAGAGCAAAGAGCAGAGAACCATTACTGAATTTAATGATATAACATAATATATAATAAATACATTCGGTCAATAAGTTCATGGTCCTATGAATTTAGAACAAGTTTGTTTCTGCTTACCAAAAATGCCCACAATTGTGTAGCACGTAAAAACCAGGGAGAGGACTATTTGTTCTGCTTTAACCCTATTACTAATGTCGTCCAGAGACCTGTTCATGAACTCCCATATACTGACAGTCTCGTTGTTCTCCAGTGTTATCATACTGCTATGCTGGGGTAGAAAAAGTAGCATTTATTTCTACAAAATACCAATAGAGCGACAGAGACCAAATAAATATAAAGTTTCACAATCACTAAAGTTTGACGAGCCCTAACGTTCGACTATGTTGAACTAGAGTAGGAATCTAGTTCGACAATTGACATGTACTAAAGTTTGACAACTGAGAGCCACGATTAAGGTGCAACTATGAGCAGGTCACTGAATTATTCAGGTTTCTCAAATTACCTACCTCAATGGGTCTATAACACCCACCTGTGAGCACATGAGGCCCTAATCAGTTAATGGTCGTTTGTCCAATGTCCGCTATATAATATATACTGTATATAAAGATTGACTCTTCTAACAATAGTCCTGCAACTTATGTATATTCAGCGCGGCTTGTACAGTAGCGGTATAATGACAGTGCCATCTAGGTAACTGTCATTATAACTAAACACATTTTATTTAACAATTATCTTAACAAATGTTAATCATACTATTTATTCAATAATTCAATTCGACATTATTAACTTTGCAAAGCAATTAACTCATTGGATTAAGTGCTATTGTTGATGTAATGCTTGGCAGCACATGAAATGACATATGAAGGCGATTGCCTATATCGGACGTTATATGACCGGACATTGCAGCGTAAACAGAAAGATTTTGAACGGACATTAAAATGAACGCTCGAAGGTATTCAAAACCATTTAAAATCCTAATTTTTAATCTTCGTAGCAGATAATATTTCAATCGATTTTTAATACAGTAAGCAAGAAAAGCGGTTGTTAAGTAGTAAGAATGTTGGTATAATTTAGTCCGATGATAGAAATTTGAATTTACTGAGATTAAAAAGCGGTCAAATCCTGGGGCTGGACAATAAGTTCGTAGTGGAATACTTTTGAGTTGGACGGACATTAAACGGACAAACTTTATTTGAACGGATATCAAAATAAATGCTAGGGACTCCAGCGTCCAATTAATGTCCGTTCAAATAAGGTCCGATAAGGAAGCTACAATAATTGAGAATAGGATGATTCATTTGACCAAAACCCATAATCATGGGTACTGGGTAGAGTGGACCGCTGCCAGTGTCTCTCTTTCCCAAACAAAAGGAAATGATATTAATTTGATTGACCGTTCTCAAATGCAAAATGATACCGAGAATGAAATCGGTCGCTCGCTTTTCCCATTCATTCACGGCTTACGAATTGTAATAAGTTTCGATTGATTAGGTACATCAATCAGATGCTGTAAAAATCTCTTTGGGTTGCGTTCGGGTCGATACCTAGTATTTCGGGGTAAGGGTAGTAGTTATTACTTATTGAGTTAGCTGAAGTTTATTGAATCTTTATTGCCGAGTACAGCTGCCTTTGGGTAGTTCTTCTTAATCTATTACAATTGTAAATGAATGGGAAAAGCGAGCGACCGATTTCATTCTCGGTATCATTTTGCATTTGAGAACGGTCAATCAAATTAATATCATTTCCTTTTGTTTGGGAAAGAGAGACACTGACAGCGGTCCACTCTACCCATGATTATGGGTTTTGGTAAAATATCATCTCTTTTTGATTATAATGTCAGGGTACTTTATAAAGTCGAATTATAAACTGATATCTTCATTAATAAGGAGGAAGTTTCAACGATTTCGAAATCTATCCTTTAAAAACATTTCCTTGTGTTTAGGGAAGCATATCGGTCGATCACTGACTGAATATGCCACTTAATACTCATTCAAGTTGGCATTAAATTCATATATAATGACATTAAACTGTCGTGGCAAAGCAGAATTTGTTGGAAATCACGAATGAGCAAAATTCTCACCTTTCGCACGTGCAAACTTGGAGCAGACGTTGCGTGCGCATCCAATATTGAATCGCCGTAAATTTTTGCATGTAATTGTTTTATATATAGCTTGATAAGCATGCAAAGTTTCAAAGTATTTTAAGAAGAACTGTAATCACAACGGCACTCTAAAGTTGACAGAAAATGACGAAAACAGCAATTTTCAGTGATTTTAGCGATTTTCTATCAATTTGGGCGTGTCCCAACGTGTGCAACTTTTCGATTTTCAACTTTAAAACTAGCCTATAACACAATTTATACCTATAGGAAGCAGAACTGAGCTCCACAACCCAAGGCATGGCCCAACACCAGAGAATACTAAATCGCAAAATTGACGTTTTTATAAAATAATTCTTCAAAAAAGCACAAACTTCAATGACGAATATCTTTATGAAGGAGCAAGCTAGAAAAACTTTCCGGTAGATTTTCAGAATGCTTGAACAATTATCTAAGGTAAAAATTTCCTCAGATTTTGAATAAAATTACTTCTTAATGGTTTAAAATTAATTTTAAAAGTTATTACTTTGTCAAAAATCAAGTTTTAAAAACGGTTAACTTGATGACGTCATCAAGGGGTGTTTATGACGTCATATAATTTTTTTATACAATGTAAACTAAAGTATAAACAATTATTTGCAAGACCTGTGGTCGGAAATGGCTGTATCTTTTATACTTTTGAATCTATGGACAATTAAATACAGGCTACAATTGACTGGCAAAGCGTCTATCCCTGAATATATGTATATATCACGACAATCTATCGTAAAACAGGGGTTCTAGAAAACCCACTTCCCGATGCTCCTGAAACCTGAAACTTTTTTTGCAGTCGATTTGGTCAACGTCTAGACGCCCTGAAAAATTTCAGATCTCTAACTCAATTTTAACATGGTTTTTAAGGCACCTGAATATGGCGATTTTGGGTTTTTTACCGAATTTCGTATAACAGTGCTGGCGAGTATTTTTACTATTTTATGCAAATTTCTTAAAAATCTCAACATAACTATTTTTATTCCTGTCATCTTTGACATCAAATTAGAATGTTTTGAACTAAAAATAAATCTGCTGAACGACTTCCGATGAGTCTTAATGCCTGAAAAACTCCTGCCGGAGGCGGCGGCCTTCGGCCGCCGCCTCCGGCCGGAGTGCACGCTTCGCGTGCACGAAAGAGGCTTCCGACGAGTACCAAAGGGGTTATAATAGTAAAGGGGGTATAATAGTAAAGGGGGTACAATAGTAAAGGGGGTACATAGTATACCCCCAATAAAGACACCGCTCGTGCTTGCCAGCACTGTGATATCACGACAATCTGTCGTAAAACAGGGGTTCTAGAAAACCCACTTCCCGATGTTTCTGAAACCTGAAACTTTTTTTGCAGTCGATTTGGTCAACGTCTAGACGCCCTTCAAAGTTTCAGATCTCTAACTCAATTTTAACATGGTTTTTAAGGCACCTGAATATGGCGATTTTGGGTTTTTTACCGAATTTCGTATAACAGTGCTGGCGAGTATTTTTACTATTTTATGCAAATTTCTTAAAAATCTCAACATAACTATTTTTATTCCTGTCATCTTTGACATCAAATTAGAATGTTTTGAACTAAAAATAAATCTGCTGAACGACTTCCGATGAGTCTTAATGCCTGAAAAACTCCTGCCGGAGGCGGCGGCCTTCGGCCGCCGCCTCCGGCCGCCGCCTCCGGCCGGAGTGCACGCTTCGCGTGCACGAAAGAGGCTTCCGACGAGTACCAAAGGGGTTATAATAGTAAAGGGGGTATAATAGTAAAGGGGGTACAATAGTAAAGGGGGTACATAGTATACCCCCAATAAAGACACCGCTCGTGCTTGCCAGCACTGTGATATCACGACAATCTGTCGTAAAACAGGGGTTCTAGAAAACCCACTTCCCGATGTTTCTGAAACCTGAAACTTTTTTTGCAGTCGATTTGGTCAACGTCTAGACGCCCTTCAAAGTTTCAGATCTCTAACTCAATTTTAACATGGTTTTTAAGGCACCTGAATATGGCGATTTTGGGTTTTTTACCGAATTTCGTATAATAGTGCTGGCGAGTATTTTATGCAAATTTCTTAAAAATCTCAACATAACTATTTTTTATTCCTGTCATCTTTGACATCAAATTAGAATGTTTTGAACTAAAAATAAATCTGCTGAACGACTTCCGATGAGTCTTAATGCCTGAAAAACTCCTGCCGGAGGCGGCGGCCTTCGGCCGCCGCCTCCGGCCGGAGTGCACGCTTCGCGTGCACGAAAGAGGCTTGTAACGTGTACCAAAGGGGGTATAATAGTAAAGGGGGTATAATAGTAAAGGGCGTACATAGTATACCCACAATAAATGCACCGGTCGTGCTTGCTAATACATCATATTATCAACCAACCAATTATCATCTGGAGTCTAATTCTATGAAGTACTTTTATACTCCAAAACTTCTATTTTAAATTCCATTACATTTTGTTAGTAAATACAGCGGATTGATGGGAACTAAAATAACACCAGTCTTTAAAACGACTCACTAAATAATTTCCTCGTAACATGTGAATTGTTGGACAATTATATCCTCTGAACAGGTGTATTTAGGAGATGGTGGACAATACAAGAACCAGCACTTCCTCCCCACACGGTCCCTATATATCTTATATACAGGTTTACAGGGTGTAAGGTTAGGATTCACATGGTCTCCTGTTTCTGCGTGTAATGGGTTACTGGGTAGAACATTCTTTCTGTTTAATTTTAGATACCTTGTGAGCTGTCTGGCTTTTTGAGCGGTTTATTTAACATAGAAACAAGGATTAGATTCTGTTGCTAGGGATGGTAACTATAAGATTGTATCCGGTTCTGGTGACGACGATAATTATAGTAATTATAGTAATAGTTTGATATCATTACGCAGATAAAGATAGTTCTAACTTTTAAATTCTTGATCGAAATAAATATTCTGCCGATTAAGAAATTAAGGATAAACTTCAAAGTAAAAAAAACAATATCAAACGTTTGAAAGAAACACTGATATTCTGTCAAAGAAGTTTGTTTGCATTTTTCCACCAAAATGTAAAGGTCAAACTTAACGTCGACTTTGACAGATATTTTAATAAACATTTTCATCAAGCGTTTTAAATCTATTATTGTTGGTATACTGTCCATAATTTAATATTGTTGATTGACTTGGGTATCATGATTCAAAAAATCGCACAGGGGTCGAAGGGAAGCAACTAAATACAAACTGATTCGCATTCAACACTGCGAGATACCATTAGCCACAGAATCTCATCCGTATCATTAGCAAGATTAATAAACACTACTACTACACTACTACTACGCTAGATTAATAAACACTACTACACTACTACTATGCTACTACTACACTACTACTACGCTACTACTAGGATAGCTAATTTATTTGATAGTTCACTCAATTCGGCTTTGTGTGTAATGGTAGCCCGCAGTAGGGATTAATATCGTTAATCCAAGATTGAGGCCGTTCAAGCACCTATAAACTGCTTCATTTTTATTGTTTAATTAGGATCATCTCGTTAGTTCTCTTAGACGCACATGTATCTACATCATTATAAGTATAACTGTATTGAGGTACCTAGTGAGCACTGAACAGTTTTATCATATAACGGATTGAACCAACTCCATATTTAGATATTTCAAGGAGTCCATGGCAGAGTTTTTTACACAATTATTTGTACATTCAATTTGAAATAGTGCATAAATATTCCCTTTTGAATTCTAACGACTTGGAAATGATGCTTTACTTAGATAATATGAACTGCATGATTTAACTCTACATATTCCTCATTCCCTCCTTCTCCTCCTTCTCCTCCTTCTCCTCCTTCTCCTCCTATAACTATCAACTATAAGGAAGAGTTGTAACAATTGTATCATACTTCCTCAGTCATGGGAAAGTCATCATTCTATTGAAGAAACTTAAAGTTGCAGGGTTTATCGTTATTTTCTTTTGCTCAAGTTTGTGATATGGAAGCTAAAATATAATACTAGAAACCCGTACTCTCAGCAGACCTTATTTATGTTGAAGAATTGAGTCCACTGTTGGTTGAGAGCACTGTTGGTTGAGAGCACTGTTGGTTGAGAGCTAGAGAGCACTGTTAGTTGAGGACACTGTTGGCGAGAGCACTGTTGGTTGAGAGCACTGTTGGTTGAGAGCACTGTTGGTTGAGAGCTAGAGAACAGTGCACTGTTGGTTGAGAGCACTGTTGGTTGAGAGCACTGTTGGTTGAGAGCACTGTTGGTAGAGAGCTAGAGAGCACTGTTGGTTGAGAGCGCTGTTGGTTGAGAGCTAGAGAGCACTGTTAGTTGAGAGCACTGTTGGTTGAGAGCACTGTTGGTTGAGAGCACTGTTGGTTGAGAGCTAGAGAGCACTGTTAGTTGAGAGCACTGTTGGTTGAGAGCACTGTTGGTTGAGAGCACTGTTGGTAGAGAGCTAGAGAGCACTGTTGGTTGAGAGCGCTGTTGGTTGAGAGCACTGTTGGTTGAGAGCACTGTTGGTTGAGAGCACTGTTGGTAGAGAGCTAGAGAGCACTGTTGGTTGAGAGCGCTGTTGGTTGAGAGCACTGTTGGTTGAGAGCACTGTTGGTAGAGAGCTAGAGAGCACTGTTGGTTGAGAGCGCTGTTGGTTGAGAGCTAGAGAGCACTGTTAGTTGAGAGCACTGTTGGTTGAGAGCACTGTTGGTTGAGAGCACTGTTGGTAGAGAGCTAGAGAGCACTGTTGGTTGAGAGCGCTGTTGGTTGAGAGCTAGAGAGCACTGTTAGTTGAGAGCACTGTTGGTTGAGAGCACTGTTGGTTGAGAGCACTGTTGGTTGAGAGCTAGAGAGCACTGTTAGTTGAGAGCACTGTTGGTTGAGAGCACTGTTGGTTGAGAGCACTGTTGGTAGAGAGCTAGAGAGCACTGTTGGTTGAGAGCGCTGTTGGTTGAGAGCACTGTTGGTTGAGAGCACTGTTGGTTGAGAGCACTGTTGGTAGAGAGCTAGAGAGCACTGTTGGTTGAGAGCGCTGTTGGTTGAGAGCACTGTTGGTTGAGAGCACTGTTGGTAGAGAGCTAGAGAGCACTGTTGGTTGAGAGCGCTGTTGGTTGAGAGCTAGAGAGCACTGTTAGTTGAGAGCACTGTTGGTTGAGAGCACTGTTGGTTGAGAGCACTGTTGGTTGAGAGCTAGAGAGCACTGTTAGTTGAGAGCGCTGTTGGTTGAGAGCACTGTTGGTTGAGAGCACTGTTGGTTGAGAGCGCTGTTGGTTGAGAGCACTGTTGGTTGAGAGCACTGTTGGTTGAGAGCACTGTTGGTAGAGAGCTAGAGAGCACTGTTAGTTGAGAGCACTGTTGGTTGAGAGCACTGTTGGTTGAGAGCACTGTTGGTAGAGAGCTAGAGAGCACTGTTGGTTGAGAGCGCTGTTGGTTGAGAGCTAGAGAGCACTGTTAGTTGAGAGCACTGTTGGTTGAGAGCACTGTTGGTTGAGAGCACTGTTGGTTGAGAGCTAGAGAGCACTGTTAGTTGAGAGCACTGTTGGTTGAGAGCACTGTTGGTTGAGAGCACTGTTGGTAGAGAGCTAGAGAGCACTGTTGGTTGAGAGCGCTGTTGGTTGAGAGCACTGTTGGTAGAGAGCTAGAGAACAGTGCGCTGTTGGTTGAGAGCTAGAGAACAGTGCTGTAATTAGCCTTCAGCTCAAAGAAGTAGTGTGCTAACCTTATATTTGTGTGCTATTATGCAGTTAACATCCATGTTTAGAGAACACACTGTTCTGCTTGCTGTTCGTTTGCTGCTTGTTCTAAAGATATCCATACAATTTATTATTTTCTAAATGTTTGAGTAGAATTTGTGACCTATAATGAAAGAAAGCGTTATTAAATCTTAGTCAAAGCCATTGTTATACGTGGATACTTTTATAACTTTTTAAAAAATTTCTTCCCTGTCTCTTTATCATTTAATATTGTATAGTAATGGAAATAACAAGAATGAATATCTTACCAGCAAATATGAGATAATATAAAAGGTAGCTGTTAAATGAATGGGCTGATCCTTCATTACCTTCTTCCCTGGTTTCTATTGGAGCAGGTAACTAGTGAAGCTAGTGGTGATGAATTCAGAAAAGAACTAGGAGAACGGAAGCTTAAGTATGACGAGACACTTAATCATTACGTCATCCAAATAGAGAAAAATCAGGTTTGTATTATGAATGTATTGGTATCTGAATGATGTTTAATACTGGTTAGTGCCGGTTTCTTAACAAGAGGAAACTTTTTATATGTAAACATCAGAGGTTAGCATAGAGGCTATTTTACATTTTAATTAAATACTGTTCTCAAATGCTAAATGATAAAATCAATATTTATAAATTATAAGTTAGTATCGTGTTATAAAAACCGGCTTCATTACTATGAGAAAGAAACAAAATAAACGGGCCTATATATAGGAGCACTCCTCGTCTTGTAGGTTTATAACCTACCAAAGTACCAAGACGCGCGCCGAGTTGAAACAAATATTTTACCAGTATCACCCGTTAATCCTCGTCACATAATTAACATGACTGCGTGACTTATATAATAATATGTATAGAGGGAGGTATAAACCATAGTTCGGTGTACAATTATTTCTTTATTCTCCACCGCTCCTCGGAATCTTTGACGTTTCAAAGATGCCGAGGATTCAAAAGTAATTAGGAAAACGGATAGAGCATGAAAAAGTCCTTAACATGTTTTGATAAAATGAGTTAGCTGATATTCATATTGATATTTTGTTCAGCAGGTTGGGTAACGTCAACACTAGGTCCAAATAACAATTTCATGCCTTATGCTAAGATGAGAAGTACTTTCCGGCGACATAAGTTTAGGTGCCCGTAGCGCCATTTCAAGTGTTCCAGTCATTATTTTGTCACGAAAGTCGGACTTCCATCGGAAACCCATTTATCGTACTTTATAACCAGTTTTATTAGTACGTACGGTACAGTCATTTTTAAAAGTACTGAGTTCGTACCGTACGAACTTCTCATCATATGCCTTATATAACGTTTAACAAGAGCTCCCCCCCCCCCCCCCCCCCCCCCCCTTAACAAGAGCTCCTTGTTCAGACAGCTATTCTTGAGTGCACGTCCCCAGAGTCAGCTACCACGCTGACTAAAGAGGAGAACAGATCAGAGCCCTGCATACCTGAGAGGGATGTCATATACGAGAGGGACGTCGGGGACATCACCATCTCTTGTCTAAGTCAGTAACATAATTACAATAATTAACATAATTAACATAATTAATTAACATAATTAACTGTTTATGTATTTAGAGAGAGGTGCACAATAAACTACCTTTTCCGACCTTATCTGACCGGAAGTTGCGTGAACGGACATAATTTTAAGCAGACATTAAAATTAACGCTAGGGCCACCGTACCAGTGTCCAATTAATGTCCGTTCAAATAAAGTTCGATAAGGTATTTTTCATTTTTTGATGCGCTTTTTGGGCAAGAAATGTTTTTTACATCGAGGAAACCCTATAAAAAACTAAAATCCATTTTAATTATCATTTTTAGTTTGTCAATCATCGGTCTTGATAAATGGGAGACACTAATCCTACTCGATTTCGATTATTTTATAGACTAATTAAACATTTTCTTCGACAACAAAGGAGTCAAGCACAATAAACAGTGTTTGTAAGATTGTTGAATATAAGTTAGTTAGTTCAAGAAATAATGTAACATTTCACGCAACCACAATTCCACATGGAAATTGATCTTCTTAAGGGGCCGCTAATTAACGTTCTCATAACTAACTACTTTACACCAGTAATAATTATTAGCTATTAAGGTAAAACCTAAGGTATTAGGTTGAGTCAATTGGTGTTTTTATAAAATCAATAATATTATATGATAAATACCAATTCCAGTAAAAGAAGTGTAAGTGTAAAAACTATAGTTGCAATATTCAGCCCATTCTAAACCCCCTTCCCCCCCCCCCCCCCGGGGCGCCCCCTAATTATTCGTATTTCCATGAGACACGCTACTGAATACCCAACAATAAAGATTGTAGTCGTGGCTAAAGCTACCATCAATATTAGCATTTAACGCTATGTGTAATATAACAAAGGATAAACTTCCTTTATACAATATACGAGTGACGATGGCGAACACAATATCAGCTCTATTTGAAGTTCTACTTGAGATCAACAAGCCTCATAGTAAATTAAGTTCGGATTTTCGGAGAAGTTTTATCTCGCATTTGCCTCAGCCGTTATTTTAAATGATAAAATTGTGAAACAACCGCAATATTCAAAATTCTCATTTCAGTGGAAGCTCACTACAGTCATACTGTACAATGGTTCAGCTGTTACTTGAAGGCCTTTCCTAACTCTAAGACTGTTATCATTATAGCTGTTGTCCCTGCAATAGAAGGTAAGTTTAAATCATTTTAACATGTTAACATGTTTATTGTTTAAGGGGGCGCATTCTCGTACACAAATGTTAACTACCAACCTTGCTGATAAATGTTGCTGCATGATAACGCTTGGCTTAGGATCCAACCTTGCAGTTTTTTTTTCAAACGTTTCTGCCTGGATGAGGCGAAACTGAAACCAAAATATTTATCTGCTCAAGTTTTAAAAACAAAAAAATTTGCCAAATCAGGTCTTTAAAATCAGGTTTCTGTTATCCGGCATGCCATCCTCTGAGCAGAACGGTTTGCAGTCTGCAGTCTTAACTGCTACTAGAATACCTCTCATGCTTAATCAAATTGTCAGCCTTCTAACACATTTAAGCAAAAGTAACCATGAATATTACTAGTTCCTGTAAAACTGAACTCTGACAGATAACTCAAAAGAAGTGAGGCCGATATTTGGCAGTAACTTAACCCTCATGTCGGATGAAGACCTCTCTTGGTGGTGCCTCTCAGAACACACTCCCATTTATAAACCCTCCGCGGGCCATCTTCTCTATTTCAAGGTTTGCCTATTTATAAACCCTCCGCGGGCCATTTTCTCTATTTCAAAGTTTGCTTATTTATAAACCCTCCGCGGGCCATCTTCTCTATTTCAAGGTTTCCTTATTTATAAACCCTCCGCGGGCCATCTTCTCTATTTCAAGGTTTGCTTATTTATAAACCCTCCGCGGGCCATCTTCTCTATTTCAAGGTTTGCTTATTTATAAACCCTCCGCGGGCCATCTTCTCTATTTCAAGTTTTGCTTATTTATAAACCCTCCGCGGGCCATCTTCTCTATTTCAAGGTTTGCTTATTTATAAACCCTCCGCGGGCCATCTTCTCTATTTCAAGGTTTGCTTATTTATAAACCATCCGCGGACCATCTTCTCTATTTCAAGGTTTGCTTATTTATAAACCCTCCGCGGGCCATCTTCTCTATTTTAAGGTTTGCTTATTTATAAACCCTCCGCGGACCATCTTCTCTATTTCAAGGTTTGCTTATTTATAAACCCTCCGCGGGCCATCTTCTTTATCTCAAGGTTTGCTTATTTATAAACCCTCCGCAGGACATCTTCTCTATTTCAAGGTTTGCTTATTTATAAACCCTCCGCGGGCCATCTTCTCTATTTCAAGGTTTGCTTATTTATAAACCCTCCGCGGGCCATCTTCTCTATTTCAAGGTTTGCTTATTTATAAACCCTCCGCGGGCCATCTTCTCTATTTCAAGGTTTGCTTATTTATAAACCCTCCGCAGTTCATCTTCTCTATTTCAAGTTTTGCTTATTTATAAACCCTCCGCGGGCCATCTTCTCTATTTCAAGGTTTGCTTATTTATAAACCCTCCGCGGGCCATCTTCTCTATTTCAAGGTTTGCTTATTTATAAACCCTCCGCGGGCCATCTTCTCTATTTCAAGGTTTGCTTATTTATAATACCTTCCGGGAATTATATCCACTAAAAGTCTCGGACACTGAGAGCTGATAATTTGCCGATATATCCCGCGAGGGAAGCCAAGGTATTATCAGTATAGACCTCAGACTGGCTGGCGGCAAGTTGTAAAACAAATAACACTGGCGTTCTATATATTAGACACTATATTGTATCATGCGCACGTATCGGATTACACCCCTTCCAATTCGGAACCGGAAAATATTATAATACATAATACCTCCGGTTCTTCGGGCCGCAAATTCCCTCCAGCAAGCTGTCGGGAATTATCAAGGTTTGCTTATTTATAAACCCTCCGCCGGCCATCTTCTCTATTTCAAGGTTTGCTTATTTATAAACCCTCCGCGGGCCATCTTCTCTATTTGAAGGTTTGCTCATTTATAAACCCTCCGCGGGCCATCTTCTCTATTTCAAGGTTTGCTTATTTATAAACCCTCCGCGGGCCATCTTCTCTATTTCAAGGTTTGCTTATTTATAAACCCTCCGCAGTTCATCTTCTCTATTTCAAGTTTTGCTTATTTATAAACCCTCCGCGGGCCATCTTCTCTATTTCAAGGTTTGCTTATTTATAAACCCTCCGCGGGCCATCTTCTCTATTTCAAGGTTTGCTCATTTATAAACCCTCCGCGGGCCATCTTCTCTATTTCAAGGTTTGCTTATTTATAAACCCTCCGCGGGCCATCTTCTCTATTTTAAGGTTTGCTTATTTATAAACCCTCCGCGGGCCATCTTCTCTAATTCAAGGTTTGCTTATTTATAAACCCTCCGCGGGACATCTTCTCTATTTCAAGGTAATTGCTTATTTATAAACCCTCCGCGGGCCATCTTCTCTATTTCAAGGTTTGCTTATTTATAAACCCTCCGCGGGAGTTCTTCTCTATTTTAAGGTTTGCTTATTTAATATTTATAAACCCTCCTCGGGCCATCTTCTCTATTTCAAGGTTTGCTTATTTATAAACCCTCTGCGGGACATCTTCACTATTTCAAGGTTTGCTTATTTATAAACCCTCCGCAGGCCATCTTCTCTATTTCAAGGTTTGCTTATTTATAAACCCTCCGCGGGCCATCTTCTCTATTTCAAGGTTTGCTTATTTATAAACCCTCCGCAGGCCATCTTCTCTATTTCAAGGTTTGCTTATTTATAAACCCTCCGCGGGCCATCTTCTCTATTTCAAGGTTTGCTTATTTATAAACCCTCCGCGGGCCATCTTCTCTATTTCAAGGTTTGCTTATTTATAAACCCTCCGCGGGCCATCTTCTCTATTTCAAGGTTTGCTTATTTATAAACCCTCCGCAGGACATCTTCTCTATTTCAAGGTTTGCTTACTTATAAACCCTCCTCGGGCCATCTTCTCTATTTCAAGGTTTGCTTATTTATAAACCCTCCTCGGGCCATCGTCTCTATTTCAAGGTTTGCTTATTTATAAACCCTCCTCGGGCCATCTTCTCTATTTCAAGGTTTGCTTATTTATAAACCCTCCGCAGGCCATCTTCTCTATTTCAAGGTTTGCTTATTTATAAACCCTCCGCGGGCCATCTTCTCTATTTCAAAGTTTGCTTTTTTATAAACCCTCCGCGGGCCATCTTCTCTATTTCAAGGTTTGCTTATTTATAAACCCTCCGCGGGCCATCTTCTCTATTTCAAGGTTTGCTTATTTATAAACCCTCCGCGGGCCATCTTCTCTATTTCAAGGTTTGCTTATTTATAAACCCTCCGCGGGCCATCTTCTCTATTTCAAAGTTTGCTTATTTATAAACCCTCCGCGGGCCATCTTCTCTATTTCAAGGTTTGCTTATTTTCTGATATTTTCTCAATCATTTTTGATCTAAGTTTTTATGCTAATATTTTAGATGCTATAATTTCCTGGCTGAAACGCAAATCAGTGGCCCTGTAGATTTGGTGCTACTTTTCTATTGAACCCTGAATTTAATTGGCTTCCCTAGACCAAGATGGAAGTTAACTACTCGTGATATTAAATAGTTCATAGCCAACTAGGTACTTAGGTACAGAACCTTTAATACTCTCCAATAGTATTAGTAGAGTTACTGATTGAGGCGTATTATTTTCAGTGGTTCCACACAGAGAGCGAGCGTCGTGGTAACCATAACTCAAGGCCGATGACAAAAGTTAAAAAGCTTGAGTTGTGGAAAATGGAAATAAACACAACTTTCAGCTGCAATGGTTCCGAATACATGGTAGATGCAGAGTTTCATTGCTTTGGGTAAAACAAAATACTATATTTGTTCATTAATTTTGACTCTGGTCACCATTATCATTATTCGTTATCAAAAAGTCATCTCCAAGGTCACGTCCACAATCAAATATAAATTAATTAACGTACTATTATACAATAACTATAAGGAAAAATGAAGGAGATGTCTAATAAAGTTGTTGTCTCGGAGAATGAACAACTAAGCTCCATAACAATACGAAAACAGAAAATAAAACGACTGCTAAACATCTTAGGAATCTAGTGCAAGAGCTGATATAAGTGAAATATGTGTAGCAAAAGCTAATAATATTGATTATTCACTTTGAGGCTTCACTTTGATAATTCACCAATCGTGACGTGAAGACGTAAAAATGCAGCCTTCGTGAACTACTAAGCTGACAAAGGAATATAACTTCAAATATGTTGAAAATGAAATTACACCGCAATTCATTTTTAAATAACTAATTTGATGAAAGGATTACATATAGAACAGGTCTGACTGAATACCGCAAAAGAGGTTGAAACATTTAACTTGAGATTCACCAATAATAGCATTGTTACAGAAACAGAAGCCTTTCCAAAGTCAGTAAACTGCCGCCACTAGTGACATGGTGTGACAGCTGTACGCCTCCAAGATCCACCTTTAACTTTACTTTGTCGCCAAAACTGACATAGTAATGCTACTGCAAGGGCCTGAATGACGGTACGCTTTTAACTAGAAACCCCTTGTATACAGTATACACAAGCACACTTATTCATGTCATCACATATTACATAACTAGAGCATTATTTACCTATCCTGACCTCCATTTGGCGGAACAAGTATAGAATGATGATGTGTGAAGTGTGAACTCACTGTTTGTTAAGTTGTTGATTTCATTAAATAATTTTAGACATATATACCACGTGATGCGCGCTGCAGTCCACCAGATATACTGCAAAATAACTAACTTTTAAACTCCATAAAGTAATAGTTTTAACTTTGCCAGTCCTTTGGGTCCATTTAGTTCTTTTAGCAAACCATGTCTCAGTAAGTTAATAAGTTATGTCGTTATTGTCGCCAGGAGTTGAGTTGAGTTTTATCAGCCAAAATAGCAATTTTAACAGATCTAAATACGTTTCCCTGAATGTGTAACAAATAAACAAATAAACAAATAACAAACTACAGGAAGCTCCCTACTGGACTCCCTTCCATCCAGCACTGCCACGACTGGGGCAAAGCAATGGTTATACTTTTAGAGGTGCTGTTATATGTCTGTCTCTATGCTACCTTGGTCATTTTCTATAAATCAGTCGGGTAAGCAACATTACAATCTACGCTACTGAGTTACGCTACTGAGTTACACTATTGAGTTACGTTACTGAGTTACGTTACTCAGTTATACGTTACTGAGTTACGCTACTGAGTTACACTATTGAGTTACGCTACTGAGCTATACGTTACTGAGTTACGTTACTCAGTTACGCTACTGAGATACGCTACTGAGTTAGGTTACTGAGTTACGCTACTGAGTTACGCTACTGAGTTACGCTACTGAGTTACGATACTGAGTTACGCTACTGAGTTACGCTACTGAGTTACGCTACTGAGTTAGGTTACTGAGTTACGTTACTGAGTTACGTTACTGAGTTACGCTACTGAGTTAGGTTACTGAGTTACGCTACTGAGTTACCCCAAACAAGCTTAATCGCTCTAATTTTGAAAATTGTATTTTGAATTTGATTGTTATTTTAAACAACATGAGCAGGAATAAAAAATAAAAATCATTACGGAGTATTGTTGTGAAGCTTGATTTGAGACAGTCATGGGTGACTATAGCCTGTGACTATAGCCTGTGACTTTAGCCTGTGACTATAGCCTGTGAGTATAGCTCCTGTGACTATAGCTCCTGTTACTATAGCCTGTGACTATAGCCTGTGACTATGATAGCCTGTGGCTATGATAGCCTGTGACTATAGCATGTGACTATGATAGCCTGTGACTATAGCTCCTCTGACTATAGCCTGTGACTATAGCCTGTGACTATAGCCTGTGACTATGATAGCCTGTGACTATAGCTCCTGTGACTATAGCCTGTGACTATAGCCTGTGACTATAGCCTGTGAGGGATCGCAGACTCATCTAAGCATCTAAATATTTCCAAATGTAAGTGTTATGATGCAGATTCTATAAGTGGGGAGGCATATACTTTTTGACACGTGACAGTGATTCTGGGGATTGATCGGTTAATCGCTGTCACATGCCTCACATCCTCACCAAATCCTATGAGATTGCCTACTTACAGTCACTAACTCCTAACAGTGGCTCCTGTACACCTTGAAGTGCTCCACTGGGAACTGACTGTAGTAATAATAAGAAATGTAAGTATTATATATATAATGTAATGTAATATTTCTCACAGGACATTAAGGCGGGTTATGAGGCGTATCAGGAGAACAGCTCGCGACGCGGATTACACTAAAAACCGCCTTTTAATCCTACCTCGATGTAAAGGAAGGCCCTACACAGGGATTGACAATCTAGGAAAACTGATTATTAAGCTAGAACAGCCTGCAGAACCAGCAAAATGTGATCATAGTGCAGGTCGGTTCAAGGACCTAATATCTGCTGTTTAGCAGTTAATACATTGTCACATTTACAGCAGCTGGTGACCGCTACAAGGAAGACAACTTATCCACCCTCAAACCTTATCACTTGTTTTAAATGTTTGCTAATGTTTACTGATGACGCAGCCATGGGGTTATTATAGTATTTATAACTAGCCTGAATCTGAACCTGAAAACAGAAAATCGTACAAAGAATAACGTCCTGAAAAGTGTTTTATTTATAATTCTACGGGGCTAACCTATTTAAGGGACTTCCAAGTTATTGCTGTGAAATTGTCTTGACGTTTTTAAATATTCAATTTTATTTTTAATTCTAATGATTTAATTTCATTGATATTACTATTAAAAAACTTGTATATTATTTTGGCGCGCATTCTATGAAACAAAAGAAAATAGTTTCGATACTATTTATTTTTAAATCAGAAGGACTGGCAACCTAATTTGTTCAATTTTAGGGAGGGCACCAAATGTTACGCCACTGCTCACCCTACGTTGGAAATTGCTTATATAATTATAACACATAACAATACCTAGTTAAGTGATTAGGGTCCGTTAGATTAAGTGATTAGTTAATTAAGTTATTAATTAAGTGATTAGTCTAAAATAGAAGAATTGAAGATGAAAGTAGCCGCACTAACAAAGTATGAGTGTTTACAAGAAGCGCCATTTGAAACACAGTACCTTACAGAACAATAGAGTACACAATGTGATACAAGTTAAGAGACCTAGTATAGTAACAAAAGGAGTAGGTTAGCTCCAATGCAGGTGGTCACGTGAACACATGGTCACGGTTACAGAGTCTGTAACCATGGTCACGTGATCACGTGTCACGTTTACAGGCCTGTGCAAACAATGAAACTAAACGGCACCGTGTTATAATCACACGATTATAATGTGTAAGAGTACACACTAACATAATGCGGACATTAAACTAAACGTATGAGTAAGAACACGTAATTATACACATTATACCTAGCATTATACCTAGCATTATACCTAGCATTATGCCTAGCATTATAAACAGCTTTGCGGTGGAACACTGTAACTTATTCCATGTGGGGTGGGGTGATTTCAAGAGAAACTGGTAGCAACGTGGAACTTAACGCTTGTTACAGGATCCGAGCCACTCTTACACATTTAGGTAATTTATGTGACCTTGTGTCAAGATCAGGTATTTTAAGTGCGATATGATCATATTATATAGGATAATATTAATACAATAAACTTATACATATAATAGCTAATACAGAGCGTCAATATATCTTTATATATATTATTATTAGTCCTCCTCTTCAGTATATTGGTTCCCTTTAATTGTGAAACCTATTAAATTTAAAACACAGCCATACAATTATCTACAAATAAAAGCTTAAATAACTTATCAACAAACAACGTTTATAGTTACAAACGACAAATTTACAAATTAATCACATACGTAATGCAACTTAAAGTCACCGTAAAGTTATCTACAAGCAAAAAGAAAGTTATCTATTTTACATTTTGTTCATTATAAACTTTATAAACTTTTATGATCATTAGTGCTCAGCCAACACAACCCACCCCCCCTGTCTGATATTACACTAGGTGCTGGCGTCCTATTATAACTTTGAGTTGGTCTCCTTCCAGATCGTTTGGTTGAAATGAGACACTTATCTTCACACAATTTTTCTGTGAAATTTCATCTATAATGGCTTCTGGAACTGTATGAGAATAGTCACTGTACACTTTTGAGGCTTTGTAAACAATATCGGAACATTTCCCTTCCACCTATTCCAACAAAGCACCTAGACCTTTGTTAGTCTACTGTAGTACTGTCGGTCACTGTAGCTGTATGGTATTGGTAATATGCAGGTAAAGAAACTTTCTATGTTTTGGCTAGTGTTTATCCAGCACAGACGTGGGCGCCGCCGCCGGTGCGCCGCCGCCGCCGATAAATTCGACACGCCGCCGCCGGCGGTAAATTTCGATCGGCGCGCCGAATGTCAAATTTTTGCCTCAGTTGTGCCGTTATCGTAGCCAAATATCTGCTTGTTGCTGAACAGAGTATAAATACTAATAGTTGCTCTTTCAAATCGTCATTCAATTTTGAAATGAGCCTTAGCATACAAAGTGTACATTAGCTTATAAGATGTCAGTCAGTGGTACAATGACTATGTTGCCAAAAATTGGTTCCAGCCGCCGATACGCCGCCGCCGCCGAGTGAAATACGGCCTCACGCCGCCGCTGCAGCATTTTCGGCGGCGCCCACGTCTGATCCAGCAATCATCAAAGGGGCCGGTGCTGTAAATGTAAGGAAGCTGGCTGTTACAGTGCAAACTGGAATTTTCCTTTTCTCGGGTTCAACAAACTGCTTTAACTTCTTTACGGCAAATTGAGAATGCATTTGTTTTACAAATTATTGATGGTACAATTTTTTAACTAAAACCAGAAACTGGGTAGATCAGACCGTCACCAGTGTATCCTTTTTCCAAAACAAAAATAAATGCAGATATCAATTTAAATTACCGTTCTCAATTGCATGCAAAGTGATGCCGAGAATGAAAACGGTCGCTCGCTTTTCCCATTCATCGAAATCACGAATGAGTAAAATTCGCACCTTTCGCACGTGCGAACTTTAAGCGAAAGTTGCGTGCGCATCCTTTTTTTATCTTTTTTTTATCAATAAACTTTCAAAATGTTTACAAATACATCATTTTATTTCAAAGAAAATTCGCCGAATGACCTTACATGCTCACCCCAACCGCAGGTTCCTTGCGGGTAAAGGAACATTCAACCGCAGGTTCCTTGCGGGTAAAGGAACAAACAAAAACAAAAATGGCAGACTCCTTGCCGGTAAAGGAGAATTCTACAACAAGTTCCTTGCCAGTAAAGGAACGTTGAACAAGTATCGAATCAGTATGGCTATTCCCAGCTTCAGATAGGGACAGCGTGACAGTTTTATCCTTCAGGGACAGCGGAAGCTATGCCAAAATTTTCAGCCGATCCCTTTCATGTGCAAGTTTAACCATCCACAGTTTCTATTACTGATTTTGAGACACCTCTGGAGACTTAATCATACATGGTTCTTGAGTCAAAGTATAGCAAATTGCCGGAAGAGAGTTAATATATATGTAATTTCAATTATTTATGATACCGATACAAGCATTCAAATTCCAGACATTTTCAACCAGAATAGTGAGCTGAGACAGGCTTTCTGAGAGTCTTTTGATGTCTTAGCTCAATATCATACCAAATGGCTCTCATGAGGAATAAGGTCAGTTGGCTGCTTGCATATCTGGCCATTTCTCGGGACGATCATGTCATAATGATTCTGCTCTGTTGCTTTGACGTCAGTGGCAGACATATTGTCCCACAGGTCGCTGTGAAGTCCTTATGTGCACAGCCAGTACAGAAAGGACGATACTTAAGGATCCGCGAGGGCTTGAACTTTGAAGGCTTATCCAGATAGCCCATTATTCGCACCTATCTCCGTGGATTCCCTTAGAAGGGAGGCCGAACGGTGAACCTCTACCAGTAAAATTTGAGGTTCTACTCCGGAGGAGAAACCCGGTTACGGATTAAAGCCGTCCGGGACTAAACAGTAACAGTAACAGACCTTACATGCTTTGACAAGTGACCGAGTGTAAACAAAATTAGGGACACCAAAACACCAGTTGACCAGTAAACTGGTCATATAAGCAATTACATCGGGCCCTATGGCCTATATGCACCTATAAGTGAAGCGATACTGCAACCAAGGCATGCTAGGTTTATTCCAATGGACTATAAATAAGGTTACAGCCTAAAATATAAATATAATAACAATGTACCATAATTATAAACACAATTTATAAAACATATTTTATTAATTACATATTTTATTAATTTGATATTTAGATATTATAGTTAATTTAAAGTTAACAAAAACTTTCAATTATCGAAATATATAATATCTTTATCTATAACAAGAGATTATAATTACTGATTAAGGAATAAGGATTTGTGGCATTTGTACGGCGTTGTAGAGTACAAATAAAAAATATATAATTCGTGAGATTAATGCCAGGAATGCGCACAGATCTTTAATCAGTAGAATGACAGTGAAATTGTGCAAAGGTGTTTAGCATTGTAAAACCGCTCGAGGTTAATCATAATTCGTCTTGATAGTAAAGTAATGTTTCGTTATTGTTATTAAAGTTTGTGTGTCAGATCATCGTGAAAGTTTAGGCAGATATAAGGCATCATGGTTTTAGGTTGGTATTAGGAATCCTGGGTATTGGTAAAGAAGTAATGTATATGTATGTAATTTGTTTAATCTGAGTAAAACGAGGACGATATAAATTGTTCAATTGTCAGAAGATTTTATAAGGTCGTTTAGAACTGTCCAGAGGTGCACTGAATTAAATAAGTTTCAAACACAGATGGCCTTGAGATTTCCCTTAATTCATAAGGGAGTTTATTCCAAATGAATACGAGACTTAATGCTGACACTATATCTTCTTCGCAAGTTTCCTCGCCTCACAACGAAACATCGGAATCTTTCAAGCAGAACCAGGAGAAGTTAAATCTTAATGATCTCAACTCAAAACTGGATAAAGTTGTCAGAGAACGGGTGTGTGAGAAGTATAAGCGAGGAAAATGTCCGCATGGTTTAAGGGGGAAGAAAGAACATGAAGGACGTGTCTGTGAGTTCGAACACCCTAGATACTGTGATAAGTACTGCCGCTTTGGTACTCAGCGTAACTTCGGGTGCAATAAGGGTTCCAGCTGCAAGTTCTTTCACCCCGTGCTCTGTAAGTTCTCTGTCAAGAACAAGCTGTGTACTAACTCAGAGTGCACATTTATCCACCTGAAAGGGACCCGGAGAAAGGAGAATGGTGATGCTCCTCGGCCCAAGAAAGGTGATAAAGCTGCCCCCGCCCCTACAGCTACCCAGGATTCTACCTCAGTTGCTGATTTTGGGGCTTCTTTTTTAGAGTTAGCGAGACTGATGGACAGGATGCAAACCTGCTTCACTCGGGAAATCTCGGAAATCCGTGCCAGTCTCCGCCCCAACCCTCAATACCAGTTTCCCCCACCACACCTTCAGTCAGGATTGGCG